CTCTGAAAAATGGGTTATTTTGATCGCGTTACAGTTTCGTTACACATTCTATAGACCGCAAACCAAGAGACTGATGGCTCGCAAGATTATTGATTTTCAAAAGTCGATCTGGGTCAGATAAGAAGTGAAGAAATCGTTTACAGTAGATTTATAAAGACCCCATTGGGCTAATTAATCGTGCTAATTAAGCGACAGGTATAGACATTTTTCAAGGTGAGACTTTAAATAAGTAATTCATTTATTCACACGAAACTCCTCTGGACCCTGTGCTTTTGTAGCAGAATTTAACGAAGTCTGAAAATTTCTGGGGGGGCTTGAGCCTCCCCTGCCCCTCCCCCTGCTACGGGCCTGAATAAAACCTTACGACTTAACGAAGGAAATTAGGTCTGACGTCTATAGTGAGCTCGACAGCAGCTTATATGGCAATATACAGTGGAACCTAGATATAACAATGGGCTAAGGGACTTGCAAAATGTGCTCGTTTTAACGAGCTTGAGGTATATAAAACTTCTTTCCAAATACTTCAGTTAGTAAGAGTGCTCTGACTTATAGCTCTGAAAATGCGTGCGTTCTAAGCTCAACTTTTTCCGATACCTCTTTCCGTTATTGTTTCAGAAAGCCGAAAATTTCAGTAGTCCTTCAAGCTTACGAATGATGACTAAACCTGGGAAAAGGAAGGTAAAAACCCAAATTCAGTTAATCGTAGAAACATTAACCTGCAGACTGAATTCCAAAAACTGAGACAAACAATGGAACATTCATCTGAAAATTTTAAACCTATCGCGAGCTATAGGAATCTACAGACAATACTGAGTTTCTTTGAACAGATACTCTACCGAAAAAAAGTCTTTGTGTGCCTCTACCACATGAAAAGATCTGAAGGTCCTCTGAATGTTTGCACTAGTGGTCTAAGCAGGACTTAGGTCAAATATCCGTTTCTTAAAGAAATACTCAATTGTATGATACCAAAAAAAACTATTTGTTTTTCTTCTTTTAAATAATTAATGTTTCACAAAATGCTTTGCTGGATGTCTCCTCTGATAAAGCGATGGAAAAAATATGCGTCTACATTTGAAAAATTAATCATCAGTTAGGCTTGTAAAAGGCATCTGCGTTGGACAGTGTTACTCCGGCGAAGAATAATCGTCCGGTCTTAAATTATCTGCACATGACTGTTTTAAATATGGAAATATTGCACTAAAGAGTGAGCTAACCTTGAATAATTTCCTTTACTTATCATCTTCCGCTTAATATATATCTACCCCCATATTTTTTTTTAATTAGAACTTTGTTCGTCAATCAGCACAAAAAACAAATTGGCCCTATACTATTTGATCGACACATACAATAATTATTTCACCGCTCCACACAGAAATTTTAGAACAACGGAGGAGTAAGAAACAAACTAGATAACCAACTGACACAAACAAATGAATGATTGCCATACGTAATAACTATATAACCATTCTCCAACCCAGTTTTGAGATACCCCTTTCCGTTACGGCCTTTTTTACTAAGTGGTGACTAAACCTTCAGAAAATTGTAGAACAGTTAATAGACTGAAACTTCGAATAACTTATATGAATTTCATCTAGAACTTTTAACCCAGTTTCTCGAGCTATCTATAGAAATTTCCAGAAAAAAATGGTTGTGCTTGATCTTCTAACAGAAAAGAGTCGTTGAGTTCCCCTACTACACTTGAAAAGATCTGAAGGTCAACTGAATGTCCTAAACCGCGGTCTAAGTAGAACTTATATTTGCTTCTTTAAGATTAGTATATCTATCGCTCTATGACTGGTATGTTTAACATCAAATTTATGCTCACTGACTGCATGATACCACAGTAAAAACCTTTAATATGTTTCGTTTTGTTCTAGCCTGTTCACAGACCCTCTCTTTTCTCTTCAAAGTCCGTCGAGCGAGCGTGATAAAAAACAAAAACCGCGGGGGATTTACTGACCGCCAGCGGAAGGGGTTTGGGGTTGAGGAAGGAGAAAATTCTTTATTTTTCTTTCTTGCGCTCCGCGCTCGTTCTCGCTCGCAAATGTTTTCGAAAAGAACGAAAAGAATAATAAAACAGCGTCTGTGTACAGGCTAGTTTTGTTCAGCCGTTTCGTTTTGTTTAAATAACTTACCTTTCGCATATGCTTTGCTGGATGTCCCTACTGATGAAGCGAAAAAGTATATTAATAGTTTTTGCTTGGAAAATATCAGTTGGGCTTGTAAAAGACGTCTGTGTTGGAGGTAACTCCGGCGAAAAAATAATCTTTCCTCGATTTATACGTTCTTATAAATTATCTGCACATCTGTTTTGGGAAATAATATTTCACTATTAAAAGCTTCAGTAATTACCATGAATAATTGTCTTGGCCATCATTTTTTTACCCCTAAATGTATCTACCCCCACTAAATAACTAAAAATTTGCTGCAGAATTATGCTTTTTGTTAACTTGAACTTCCTTGTTTTAATCAGCCCATAACCAATCGACCCTGTATTTGATGGACACCTGCAACGATTATTTAGCGGCGTCCGTGCATCATTCAAGCAAAGTAGGACACGACCTGTAGTTTCTCTAGGTGTCCTTACAGTTTCAAATTATAACATATTTCAAGTCGATAGTTCCTAAATTTTTCTTGAATTTTTTTGATAAAATTATGCCAAGTAAAACAGAAGTGCAAGATAGTACAAAAGAGAACACAATTTACTATTAACAGATCCTTTGGCCTGCGTAGGGACTGGCGGGGAGTGAATGAGTTCCTCTCGCCAGGGCACCGCTATTATTTGCGCGCCAAAATGTATTAATTTCTTTTAGTTTTTTGATTACACTATATGCACGAATTCCATTGGAATAATTAGACCTTTCCTGTTTGGTGCTCTTATTTTTAAGCATGTCTCATAATCCGCTACGGTTATAACATGTTTCAGGTTTTATCTGAATTGTAACAATTTAAACCTTCTTCCTTCATGTCTGTAAAGTAGCTATTTAGCTAAGCACATTTGACCGCGTTAAACAAAGATTATAGCATTTTTATTGTATTGTATTGCATTGCATTGCATTGCATTGCTTTGCATTTTATTGAATTGTATTGTATTGTATTGTATTGTATTGTCACCCAAACATTTGCGACATTGCCTCCAAAACAAAAAAATTGCGATTTATTCCCGAAATATTTGGCAGTCTTATGATTATTATTGTTTTCGACCACTCAGTAATGTTCACCTGTTCCAAAGTAATCAACGCTTTCAAGCGACAAAATTCGTGGACCGACACTTTTCGGAAAAGCTCTAAATTTAATCTTTCTTAAGCTTTCTTCGCAAAACATGCGTGACTTCGATCACGGAACAATTCTTAGTCCCAGTTTCCACAGTCTCCGCTAGGAACGCCGGGCACAATCGGACCCCCTTTTGTGTCCTAAGGGACGGACCATTCGAAAAGTTATAGGGGGGTGGGGAATTTTCGAGCCGCAGGAATTTTTTTTGTCATCAAATTCCTTGTTTGAATTTTTTAGGCCATAGCATGAATATTTTTTAAGGTTAATTGGCGTGCATAAATTTTTTTTTTTTCATTTAATTTTCCCTTGCGCGAATATTTTTTTGGACCAGACACTTAGGCCAAAACGACATCTCATAAGCATGTTTTTATTTACTAATTAAAATAGTGCTTAACACCAATCAGTAGTCCCTTAGTCATTTTTATACCGCTGGTCATAAGGTTTGTGGGTAGTCGCAAACGACCCAACTTCGTCAAGGGGGTAGCGTTAGGGTATCTTTGCTCGCGGTACCTCAAAACACCAACAGATTGTTTTGTATTTATGTGTAAGTTGCTTTCTGCTTCAAAGAATTCCTCTTTGATTTAATAATTCATTATTCTTTTCGAGGAGAATAAAATGGCAAAGTACACATTTTTCTTGAGCTCTGTGTCTCGTCGACTGAGTTTTCTCGTTTCCTTTCTCATGGCGCTTAACTCCAAAATTTTAATGGCGTACGTTTTCCTTACGCGAGAATTCCAGCAGCTTTGACGAGAAGTCGTCTCTTCATTTAAGTGTATACTTCATTTATTGCACGATTTTTGCATATTTACAGCGTCAGATAACTTATCATATTTTCAGAAGCTGTTTACAGAATGATAAACTCTTTCTTAATTCGATACTTAGAACACTAGGCACCCTCGAAGATTAACTATTACGCCAGGCCGTTTTTAAAACAGCCCGACCAGCCTCTTTTAAGCGACCAACCTCAAGTGGCTACAGCCCTGTGTACCAGAGTTTTTTGATAGCGCGCGAAGCGATCAACTGCAGAGGGGATGATTCGGGTCGGCCGAAGGCCGAAGCAGCAAGAGGCGAAGTAGCAAAAAAGAGACGCAGGTCACTGTATAAAGATATGATAGAAACCGGAAACCGCGCATGAAAAGACTCTGGCATTCAGGGTAGGTGACCGCTAAATAGACATTACCTGAAGAAATAAATATACCCCTGGATCCAAATGACTGAGATTACACAAGACGAACATTCTCCGTATGAATGACACAACTTGTTCAGAAAAATTTAGTCTTGACTATGATTCACACTCTGATTCGAACTCCGATCTGTGTCTTAAAAAGAAAACACGTGAAGCGAGAGAATCTAACTACGTTGACAGCAGAGGTTAAAAGGTATGATCACCCATCAGGGTAAAGAAAATGAGACGATGAACGATAATACCATTCGTCTATAAAAGCTACTATACTGATAGTCTTAAAAATTCGTTAATAATTCACTCCAATTGTGCCGTGAATATTCAGTCCTTGCTACTGATCACCAGAATTATCAAAGTACGAAAAGGGATATCTAAACAACTTTGAATTTGACTGAAATGCGCTTGATTTTTTCGAGATGAGAAACTTATTCTGGTTTGGGTAAGATTATTTCAATAACCCGGATGTTCGTGGATTTAACTCTTATTATTATAGTCAGTCGGCGTTTCTAACATCAGTTCGCCCGTCCAAACGTGTTTAAACAGGTTAAACAGGTCCAATTTGTCCACGCAATTTAACCAGTTTAAAAATGGCCAGAAGCTCCATCGTCTCCGAGCCTCCATCTAGTTCCACTAAAGTATTCCAGCGCGTTAGACTTCCACGATTGAAGATTCTTTTCATACTGTACTCCTCGCGACTGGAATTGCCTCCTTCACACTAGATTCTGGTGACTCTAAGCTCTAACATAAACTTCAACGACTAACCGATGAATCAGTTTGACTAGCTACACAGGACACCAAACGCCGTCAATGACTGTAGTTTAATAGCTGGAAATCCTATTCGGCTTTAATGAGCTGGAACCTTTAATGGTGGCGCGAAAGATGAATGAATAAAAAAAGCCTGAAAATCTAATGGGCTGTGACCGCCAAATTTTTTGAAAGAGATGAAGGCCCCGGGATTTCTGAGAGGGCGAAGACCATTTGACAGGTAGCGGTCTGCCATTACACTTCCTAATGACCTTTCTGTTTGTATTTTATAAACCTCGCTAAGTTCACTCTAGCAGCATCTATCACAGGATAATGATCCCCGAGATTTCTTCTCTCAGTTTTTACCTGAAAAACAACAAATGCGATTCTTAGAAAAGAGTACTTCTCTTTGAAAACAAAGCTTAGTTAGTCTAACTTTTTCAACGACGCACGAATTCGGTGTTTGAAGATTTATAAAAATTAAAACCAAATCAAAATTACGAAACTGCATTCAAAAATCAGTGGAATACCATTTCATTTGATACGATTTGATAGGTAAAGGTGATTAAATCGGGAAAACATTTCGAAAAATTTTGTACACTGATTCCTCGGCACTTCCTAAACTGTAAGAAAACGACACTTAAATCAGGGAAGCGCGAAATTGGCTGTTTTTCAAAAAAAAAATTAAGAAGGTGATGTTTCCGACGCTAGCCACTCAATCGATATGATCAAACTAAGGAAAACTGACTTGTAAGTGACTGAGGCATACGCCTCCCGCGTACATTAAACTGTTCCTTACCCTAGCTTTTAGAACTGGTACCAACTGTTGACGGTTGATCATGAGACCAATCGAGTCTGCAGCAGCGTTAACCAGCGGTCCGTCCGCGAAAGTATCTAAAATGGCGTCCAAGGCTTCACATATCACCCAGAGACTGTACTGACCGACCACAATATCAAGGAAGACAGTACCTAAAGACTAATAAAAAAAAAGCTTGGGTGATTCTTAGGATCCCATGAAAAACAACACTAAAGCACTAAAAAAAACGGCAAAGCCCAAAGATGAGAGACAGAAAATTGTGAAATCCGCCCTGAACCTTTTTAGCTAAGACTCAACAATTCATGACAAATGGCTCTAACTTTTGACTCAGTGGACGACGACCTAATTGCGCCGTTTTCACCACGGAAGCAAGAAAACTATTCAGTTGCTCTAAATGTACAAGTAGAAAGCACTCACAAATTATACCTTACATAACATAAATTTGATCTAGGGCTAATTTAATCTTCTTCCGAGATCCTCCATTAGTGTTGTCTACATAAAGATAATTAAAAGGGGAAGCAAACCTTCAGGATCTCCAGCCCGTTGTCTTTCTTGCGGCCATCTTGCCGATGAATCCCAGAATGCTTATCAGCTTGACTTTCACTGCTTCACATGAGGTTTCGACGGTAACACGGCACAATAAGGTCACATGTTCAGCTGTTATACACTACAAAAAAAAACACCACCCAAATTCAGCTTTCACCTATGATCAGCTGCTCAATGTGTCTTGCAAACGAGCGAGTTTAAACCCAGCTTCAACAAATCAGGTTGTTCCGGGTTGTGACAAGTTGTCGCAGAAAGTAGAGAATAGTTCTACTTTTTATAACAAAATCTTTACGGGTTGCGCGTTCTACTGGCCCAAGGCAAAGTCATTGTGCAGCAGGTGATGTATCTACCGTGTATTGCGCGACTCCTGCGTAATTTTAGCCAATAAGAAGTCAGTACTCCCGCAACATGCAACAACTTGATTTCTACAGACTACTATCAACGTCTTACTTTAGAAAGCTGGTTTACTAACTTAGAACAAACGCCACTGAATCGCAGCCAACAGTTACCAGCGCCGTACAAACGACTTATTGACGAACAAAACTAACTACGAGAGAACGACTAGAGAACTGACAATTTGACTAATAATAGACGACTGTTTAACTGTGACAATAGACGGATTGAAACGCGCCAATTACTGATTACGAGTCTTCATAGCCAAAAACGTGGCTTAACTGACAGACGACCGATAACATTCCGACGTAATTGACCAATCAGATCAATAACCAGAGTACAATACCATCAACTGACGTGATACAACTCAATTTGAGTCTGAAGATGACTACTCATGCACAGGTAGTCGAAACATCAGTCACTGTCAACAACAACAGTCCTATTCAGGACTTCGTTCACCCGGACGATCAAACTCAACCTACTTTTGAAATGACTCCTGGGTTCAAACCTTTCACACAACTTGATTTGTTACAAGACAAGCTTGAACGCAGTTGGTAAAACACGCAACATAGCTTTTCAACTTGTTTTGCAGCAATGTTGCAAAACACGTGTAACATTTTTCTTGCCCGTTCTACCATAGCTTTAGAAGAAATATTTTGGAGGAACTATGTGTCATTAGTAATTACTGAATTCTGATTGGTTGAGCTACTACTAGGCTATATGTTATAGCCCACTAGAAGCGGAAAGCGCCGGCTTTTTGGCGGCAAAAAAGGATTAAAGTCTAGCTTTAACTAGCTAAAGTTGTTTTGTCTCGATATTTTTTACCAACTAGTTGGATCTTACTAAAACAATTACTCCTCTCGCCCTAATGGCCCCTGAGTAAATAGCCCATTCGGCCTTCGGCCTCGTGGGCTATTGACTCATAGTCCATTCGGGCTCGAGGAATAATTGTTAATTATCATTTCGACGATGCCAGACGTTAAGGTAGAGTCGCTTTTCAAAGCCTTCGACTTTTTTTACCGGAAGATAACCAAACAATTGCGTCGTTCTGGTTACTTTTTACAGCTGACAAAAGTTGTTGATTAAATCGACAGCGATTGACTTGTTTCATCTACATGTACACTTTAGAAAACGAGTGACCCCTAGACAAACCAGACCTAAAACGTAAAAAAAAGCGATTAGGAACTTACTTGAGGCTCTTGCAGTGAAACCAGTTTGTCAATCACTGATTGTAGAACTCCAGTGGCAGCTTCTAGAAAATCCTCTAGCTAAGGTTAAAGAAATAGCAGTTTTACGATAAAAATTGTGGCTCAAAATAGAGTGACTATTACATCGCGCAGAATGCCTATTGTTCTCCGGACATTTACTTCCAGTCCAAAAACGTTTGTAGATCTGTCATATCATGCGTGGACGCTATGAAAGCGCCTCAACGATTGGTTGCCTTGAACTCACTCGGATGCTCATTAATATGATGTAGGTGGCAAACTAAGCAAAGGGGGCAGTTCGCTATTGTTTCCCCTTTTATTCGAAATCGCACATATGCGCATATTTCGCAGCGATATTTTAAAAACTCGCTATTGCTTTCGATGTATTGGCAGTTTATTTGGTAGAAAAAGTTAAGCAACAGAACGAATGATGAAATGTCGAATTATCTTTGCGCGAGCGAGATCTTGATTGTGTCGTAAATAAATACACTGCATTGAGTCAGTTAGCGCACAGAAGCCGACGCTCAGTTTAATGGTCTGTAATGTTTTACTTCTCAGATTTGAAAGGGTTTTAGCTCTTAGGGACTGGTAAAAAAGTATAGGGGGGTGGGCCGGAGCAGAGAGGGGGTGGGTCATGAGGTTTTGAGCCTTGTGCAAGGGGTGGGTCGTGCAATTTTCAGCTACCCTTAGGGGGTGGGTCACCCTATTTTATTACATAGATAAGCACTAACTACTAACGAGACAGTTGACCACACTTGTTATATAAAACACAGGCAGCTGGAATTAAGTTGCTAAAATACTCACAAACCTGTTGTGCGAGAAAATGCAACGGGTGACAGGCCGCACATCCCGTGAACCCTTTGTTAACCTTTTTTTTTTGGCTCTAACGAGCATGTCCTTTAATGATTTTCCTTTTTTGTAAGGAAAAGATTGGTGGTTCTTTAAAAATTTATTAAAGTTATGGTTGGTTTTGTATAAGATTCAAAAATTAATATTTTAATTAGTTTTAGGAGTTTTTAGAATTTTATTTCTGATAGTAGGTCTTCTATCAAAGTTTGTGGGTAGCTAGCCTCCGTCCATCAAGCGTTTTTTTTTTTAATTTGAATTATTTTCCTCAAAGGTTGTTTCTGAGGAGTTTTTTCGTAGGATTCTCAAGGCTTCTCCTTTGAAAAATCCTAACACTTGGAGGGTGACACGAGGTGAAATGTGTGTGCAAGAAGGTTTCCGTTTGTTTAAAATGTGTCTTTGCATCAAGGATAGATTTTTTCTTGGATCTTGTGCCTTTGTATACAACCGTGTCTAAAAACGCTGCATCTCAGTGTCAAATGTTTCGGCCATGAATTTAATAGTTGGGTGATGTAAGTTTGCTTGTTCAATGAAGACTTCGCGCGATGTCTGGTTTACTCATGTCCCATAGGGAAAAGATATCGTGTATGTAGCATTTCCAAACTGTTGTTCTAAAGACAGTTTTACTTAGAGTTATTGTTTCAATATATGTCATGAAAATATTGGCAAAGAAATGAAAACTGCTGTCTTTGTGCCCATTACAGTTCCATGGTTTAGTAGGTAGTGCTTTCCATTGAAGTGGAAGAAATTTTCTTTGAGGATTAATCTAAGAATTTCCGGCAAGTAATGTGTAGAAATGGGTTGTCTTTGTAGAAATTTTCATATGCTTTGTGACACACAATTTCAATATACCCCCGTTTTGCTGTATATTTGTGTCAAGACTCATAACGTCCATCTTTTCAGTAAAAGGTATGATTTCTGTGATTTTGATATTGGTTGTAGCAGTGTATCAACAAATTTTGTCAAGCACAGAACAAGGTTAAGCCATCCTCTTTTTTTTCTCCGTTTACCGTCATCCGACCGACCCAAATTTTTGGCATTTTTTAAAAAAAAGTAACGACGTAGTTACACCATTTTTCACTTGAAATAATTATTTTAATCTGAAAAATGAGCATAGTAACAGCACAGAGAAAAACAAGAACAAAACCATGAACATTTTTCACAGTATATTGTACATTTTGTTAATGCAAATATGTGAATGTTAACTTTTAACGTCTTCCTGGGGTACTAGAGCCTAATATTCCGAGACTTCTTGTGATTTTTTTTAAGTTTTTTTTTTCAATCCGACCGACCGACCCAATATTAGGAAACGCATTCGACGGTAAACGAAGAGAAAAAAGGGGATGGCCTTAGAGGAAACCAAACAGCCATGTTTTAACTAGGGGGTGGGTCATGCAATTTCCAACCTTGCTTTAGGGGCGGGTCAGTCATTTTTGTGCCGAAGGGAGGGGGTGGGACATGTGTTTTTTATCAACCACATTTCCAAATGTTCCGATCCACCCCCCACCCCCCTATACTTTTTGACCAGTTCCTTATACAAACCAAAACGGCGGGTAAGTAAGTTTACATTCCTTAAAAGAGCTCAAACTGAATAAAGCCCTGAAAAACAAAGATTTGCGATCCGAGTATGTAGCAATCATAAGAAAATTCGATAAAGGGGATTCAGTGTTCTCATGTACCATTTTAGATTGTATGGTGGCTGGTTACAGTCACTGCTCGTGCAGTTATTCGTTGTGGTGTTCAATAAATTGGCGACGCGATCGAAGGCCGATTCCTCAAGTATGTATCCAATGGAATGTAAGTTTGCTTGGAGGGCAGCAAACAGTTTCTTTAAATTTCCTTCCAACTTCTTCCATTTCCACAAAATTTCCCCATTTATTTGCCGGAAAAGTTCTTGTAGTCACCGTTTACCACAACTGTCCAAGCGCAACCTCTCCTCCTAGTAGATCAGCGTCCAAGGCTGTCACTATATTGTTGAGACAGATCAGTGCTCTCGCTTGTACCGTACTTAAACTAAAAGCAAAGATTTAAACTGATTTAGAACAAACTACTCATTTAACTTAGAAGCGTTCGTACTAGAAGTTACCCTCACAATCTCATTGAAAAAAACTACCTCGGAGGTTAAATTTGCCGAACAGAAGTCGGCTTTACTAAAAAACAATGAAGTGTGCAAAAAAATTCTGCCCTTTGTTCAGTTATAAAGTAACCCCGACCGCCGTTGCGGCATCAGCCAAAGAACATATTTATGAGCAAATGACATATAATCCAGCCTTTACAGAGAGAAATATACAAGAAGCCAACGCTTATCTCCTAGATTATCGTCCGAAGCAAAAATGTTTGGTCACGTATCACACTCTACTGAGCTTGTACGTATGTGTTTGGCTTGTCAACACTTTGACTTCAACAGCGCCGATTGGACCTCCGATAAACTGCATGTGATGTCCAGCTGATATTTGCAAACAATGGGAAAGGAATTTAACTTTCGGTTCAGTAGAAGTTAGTGGGGCAGGAACGCGTGACGAACTCCTAAGAACGGGGTGTCTCTTATAAAATGGTGTTCGTTATACCAACGTGTTAGCTATATAGGCGTCCTTTTTACCGGGGTGTTTTTTTTCCTCCTTTTTTTGATGAATTCCTCCTTATACCGGGATGTTCATTATCTAGGCAGTCGTTAAACTAGGGTGTCCGTTATGTAGAGATTCTACGTTAAACCGAGGTGTTCGTTATATCAGAGTTTAACTATAAAATGTAAACTTGCTCTGTCCTCAGTTTATCCATTAACTTTAGTCACGTTTGTTTCTTGTTTATATATAGGTCAGGTGTTGACGTATGAACACATTCAAGAAGTAATCAAGTTTTGTGCTCGTGAGAAATTAGTTTTATTCGCCGATGAAGTTTACCAAGACAACGTGTACGCTGAGGGAGCCCAGTTTCACTCGTGCAAAAAAGTCCTCAAAGACCTGGGAGACGAGTATAGCGGATTTCAATTGATCTCTCTTCATTCCAGTGCCAAAGGGTACACAGGCGAGTAAGTTGTGCGTGTGTGTTTTTCCTCTTGCTTGTTTGTTTTTGTGGCCACCTTCGGGTAGTAGACAAAAATGATTTAGTGCCAATTTTGTACCCTTGTGTTCTGTTTGCCGGGCTTATTTGAGTACACATACATAACCAGAGACAAACCATTATTAACCCTTGCACTCCCAATTACAAATTACAAATTTCCACTGAAATTTCTTGAACAGTCGTCAGGTGTTCTTCCAACTGTATTTTTGTAAACGGTAAACAACCTTGCTCTCCATCGTGGCGGTTTCGTACCATGCCAATGACAAGCTGCAATGGGTCAATATTTCATCTACCGCGGCTACTGGACTTTCTTCATTGCTGTTCCTTGCAGATGTGGGCTCAGAGGTGGATACATAGAGCTGGTAGGATTCAATGATCAACTCAGGTCTCGAGTTAAAACTTACCTGAGTGCAAGAAGTTGCCCTTTCACAATAGGACAGGTACGAATAATGTATGTCATGTAGTGAAATGGGACAGAGGTCCCTAATGAAAGGGCTGCCTCAAACCCTAGTCCACAATTTCCACTTTGAATTCCTGGAAAGACCTCATTTAATACCTTTCGTTAGAGCAAAAGTATCTTTGTGCTTCTAAGATGATTTATTAACATCTCCCAAGTCCTAGACAAGCCTGGTTGCTTGTGTTTCTCTTTTCGTCATATTGGCTTTGTGTTGTTTCTTCCTCTTGTTGTTTTGTTTTGCTCTATGGTGGTCAGGGTATTAGGCAGTTAAGCAAAAAATTGCAATAGTTCAGATGTAACTTCATGATACTTAGGCGTCTCTCACACTATGCGCAAAGAACGGCTGGATGGTGAAAGATGGCTTTGCTCTCCTTTCTTACTCTTCCCTTTCCTAGTCCCTAGGCCTCATTTTTCCTCGCGGCCAAAGCATTTCGGGTCACGTGGTCCATGCGAAAATGTGAGGGCGTTTCCCGCCCGTTCGCCTCGGATACGTCACCGAAATGAATTGACCGAGAGGGACTGGGAAAACGCCGTACAGGGACTAGGCAAACTCCTCCCATAAGGCTTCGCGCTTCTCTTATTTCCAGTCATTCGCCTTGTGTCGCTCGAGTCTCGAAGCGCTTGCAGAGGAAGCTGTTAGTGCTTTATTGTAAGGTACTCAGTCTGTATTCATTGCGCTTGGTTTCTAACCCAAGGTAATCATGGGACTCACTTGCAACCCTCCCAAGCCTGGCGATGAATCATATGAAAAGTTTTCAAAGGTATGCTCCTAACTGTAACTTAACCCAGAGAAACTCACGCGCCTCGCGTGATCATAATCAGTGCTACTTTATCGCTCGTGTAATTTTTTAAAGGGGGATCTGTCACGGCTGACTAGTTTATATGGTTGATAATGGCAATAACGAGTCATTATTCGCTATGGAACTTGAGAACTTAGTACTTAGTTGTGAATGACAGAATTAATAGCGTCGTATTGTTCTTTTTTCACCTTGTCTCTAGTGCTCAGGCTGTAACGCGTTCCAGGTTTTAACGAAAATGTAACAATTTGAACCGTAGCTTTTCACGATACATATAAAAGCAGTGAAAAATATAATACTTAGTCAGGTGACGCCTCTAATGCTTACCTGCCACCCACGAGATAGCCGATTTAACAAATAAAGCTTGTTCCTCTTACCCTGGGTACCAGAGGTTTTTCTCGCGCGTGGCGGGATCCTTCGGCCCGCCGGCCGAAGCCACGAGTGGCGATAAAGATTTGAAAAACCGGAAGCCATGCATGAAAAGTCTCTGGCACGCAGGATAGGTATCCATTGATTCTTTTGCCCAAACAAAACGTCAGATTCGAGTCTTACGCAAGTAAAGTTTGCCAAGTGCTGAAGTCGCTAAGGGACTAGGCCGAGTAAATAAAAATGTCTATTTTCTCCTGGAACATCCGGCAATCTTCTTATAAATGTATAGAAAATGATCTTTAATTGCGACGCACTAGGGAAATTCTATAGAAGTGATTACCTTCAGTATTACCATATCTTGCATAAGCATTATTTTGTGTTTTATCTGTTATACAGGAAGTAACGTCCATCAAGGATTCTTACAGGAAGAAAGCAAAGATGACAACAGAGGTTCTTAACTCAATGGAAAATGTTAAGTGTAACGAGGTGGCAAGTGCAATGTATGCGTTTCCGAGGATAACACTTCCAAAGAAAGCTATCGAGGCAGCCAAGGTATCATGTTCTGTTTCCGGCCCTGATTTCTAGTGCCACACTGCAGAATACTGTCAGTAATGGATATCCTAGGTGTACGGTAATCCAGATTCCGGAACCCGGGAATTTTTTTCTTGTAGACTGATCCGGAATCAGTTCAGGGGTTTGAAATTTGGAATTCAGACCCGGTTGTTCATAAGATGCATAGCTCTATCCACCGGACAAATTCACTATCCAGTGGATAGGTATGAGCGAAACCAATTGCACTATCCACTGGATAGAGATTTATCCGGTGGATGGCGTTATCCACCTTTGAACAGCTGGGGCTTGCTCTATATATGAAGCCCGGAATCTCGCTAACGATTGGAATCTGGAATCCACGTTTCATGGACAAGGAATACTGAATCCAGTACCCGCCATCCGGGATCTACAGCATAAAATCCGCAATCCACAACGTGCGATCGAGAAGCCAAGATTCTCGTTGATGCACCTTATATTAGAGGAATGCCCACCCGTTTCCCGCCGTGTCAGTTTTCATAAAAGGCGTTCTTCGGTTAGAAAAAGTGAAAAGGATGCTATATGCTCCCATCTTATTCAGGCTGCTGATAATGTCCCGCGAAAATTAAAATTTTTAACTTTCGCAACTTTCTATATTGGATTGCTAAATTCCACGTGTCGTATCGATCTAGTAACAGCTCCCAGAAGGCTTCATCGAGGGATTCATTGAAATACAGATATTCCTCTCACAAGGAAAGTATGTATGTGGTCTGTTTGGTGAGCAAGTGTCAGGATTTTGGGTGGTCAAAAAGTAATGTGTAGATATTTTTTGAGTTTACTGAGTTGTTTGTATTGTCATTGTTATTTAGGCCAGGGAAATGCCACCAGACGAGTTTTACTGTTGGCAGGCGCTGGAGAAAACTGGAATTTACATGATTCCTGGCCACGTTTTTGATTTGAAAGGCAGAGGTAACAACCCCCCCACCCGTGATATCATTTGCGCCCTTGTGTCACAAGGTTTTCACAGGCTTGTCTAATATATTTAGATTGATTAGACTAACTGCACCTTTAAATTTGAAAAGACCCCTCTTTCCCCCAACCCCCGAAAAATTCTGCCATTGTACCACAGGAATACCAAATACGGATGAGTTCTGACGAAGACAATAAGGGTATACACAGATCGGCCTATAGCCGGGGTGATGTGGTACTTAGTGGAGGGTCTGAAACTGGAATAAAGTTGTTGTTTACAAATAGAAGGGTTCACAACCGGGATTATACGGTATGGACCAGAGCATAAACTTACGTGGGAAAAGGCGTCCTAAAAGCGATGTTCTGTCAGCGTGTGAAAGTCTGATTGAATTGGACCAAGCTTCATCTCCACACTATAGGTTAAAATAATCCAAAACGTTTTGATTTTTTAAACCCACTATCCATACGAAGGAAATAACTTAAAACGGTTTCATGTTTTAATCTTTCTTGGTAGGATCACTATTCTTCCTTCTGAAGAGACGTTTGCTCCAATGTTTGAGCCACTAAGAACCTTTCACCAAGAATTCATGGCGTAGTTTAAGGACACGAACTGACAAGATGGATTTACTGGATTTAGTTTCCAGTGATGACAATATTCAATCCGGACTATTTAATATATCTCCATCCTCATTTATCAGGGGAAAGTTTACTGATGTAAAATATATGTTTGAAGAAGCAAAACTCTTGTTTACAAATTTCTATTTCTCGAGAAGGGCTAAATAGTTTTGATGACTCTTCATTCATCTATGATTTTCAAAGTTTTTCAATTGACTTCCCTTCGCAGATTTAATTATTGGCTGTATATTATCTCTCAAAAAAAGACCCGGAAATGTCCAACAATAGTGGCAGAAAGAGACTTGAATGTATCTGGCAAGCGGTACACAAATGTCCTTAACCACACAACCAGGAAAAACAACATTCTTATAATCCTCTCCTAAAATTGGCGTGAAAAAAAAAAGACGCTTTTAACAATCTTCTGACTTTTTCCATCTTTAGGACACTGAAATGTGCTTTTCCCATTTCAGCGTTTTTCCGGCCAATTCCTCGTGATATTCCAGACACAGATAGGACCGTAAAGAAATCCTGTTTACATAAATAGCAACTTTATTGAAGTCTTTTAAAATGCTGATTTTACTAACAGAGATATTAATTACCTTCAAAACAAGTCGCATTATTAAAGTAGATATCGCGTTGTGAAATAACAAATTAAGAACTAAACAACTTCTGCGCTTAATGTACATAATGGATACATTTCATGTTTTGTCATCACAATCATCATGACTAACTCTAAACTAGGAAATGTAAATGATATCTTTCATTTTGGAAGCATACTAAACGTAACGAAAAGATAAACGAGACTACTAACTAGCTCTATATTTAGTTGTAGTATTTGACGAAAACTGTGGTTCAACCCATCAATGGTTTAGATGTTGTTTTCCTTTGTGTTGCGGTATAGTTATGTACGATTGAGAATCAGAGTTTAAAACAAAGAAAAAAAGCATTTGAACCAAGGAAAAAATTGCACCACAACATTTATTTACAACCTTTTTATCGAACTTTAAAGGCTGCAATAATAGTATACAATCAACTACCGTTTTTTTTTTAATGAAGATGACGAAACCATTAGTTGCCTTCCGAGTGTTAAACAAAGTACATTAAAGCGCGTGAAGAGGAATATCTCGAGCATTTTGTCTTCGTTGACGTTTAAATAACACTAGGAGAGCCTTCCTAAACTCTGGAATTCTGATTGTGTAAACGATGGGGTTAACAAGCGAGTTCATCAAATATAGAATGATTAAAGAAGACTCCAAACGTAAAAATTCATGGGGAGAAAGGAATGTCATGATACTAATCCAAAATTGAGGTACAAGAAAACTAAAAGCCGCAAATGGTAGCCACATCAGTAAGGATACGATGGTCATTATGAACAATGTTACGGTCAGTTTCCTTTGTCTGTTGGCTGCACCATGGTGCTGGGGATGCGCTCCACACAAAAACTTAACAACAATGGAAGAGTAAGAAACACAGATAACAAATAGACACAAACAACAGTATGATTGCCAGAAGAAAAGATGATGTGAGAATTCTTCCACATATTGCTCAAGTATTAAAGTGGCAGTTGATACCATTGCAGCTAAAACCCAGACACCAGCAATTGTTACCCCGTAGACCCACTTTTTAATGAGGCGATGCCTGAAGGGACGAATTGTTGCGTGCATCCGATCTAACGAAATGACTGCAATGTTTGTTAGAGAGGTCAGAGGAAACCAGGGGAAGAGAAAGTGAATTATCACATTCCGAGGCAGTTCCATGCTTAAGTTCATTGTCACAATGTCGCATGAGAAAAGTGAGAGGAGTCGAAATTCATGAAAGTGAGAAAATGCTCCGACAAACATATCAGCTATGGTCAGGCTTATAACTAGGTACATGGCACGAGTGCGAAGACTGCGGTTTTTTATAAAAAGAATGATTGATAGAAGGTTCACTGTTACTATAGCAGCACACACGGTAAGGGTTACAGCAAACCAGGTGATGCACTCGGATGAAGATAATGGCATGACTTGTTTTCTTTTATTCCTTTTCGCTTCACACTTTTACCCGTTCTCTTCTGTTGTTCGTCTACCTTTAGAAAAAAATTGAATTGAATAAAGTTTGATTACTTAGAAAAGAAAAGTAGGTGGTGAACAAACAAGGTTGACGTCTGTTCTTTTTTTCAAAGATCAGTAATGAAGATATATGAATAACAATTCGACGAATTTGGAAGCTCACCTTTAACTTACAGTTTTTCAAATTGCCTTCACAAAAGCTGAAGTGAAAACCCTTGTTTTCAACTGTGGAGAAAATATCAGTGACGTTTGAGGTGAGATTAGGATAAATTGGTTGACTAAAAGCTGAGAGCATTAAATTTCGTTTCAGTTGAATATTTTTAAAACTAATTGATGTCAGCGCTCGTTCACCTGAGTATAATAATAATTATTATTATTATTATTATAATGGTGGTGGTTTATTTACAGCATTTCCAAAGAAAATGGCTCTACATCTGCTGATAAAATATATTATAGTATATCTAACCGATTTTTGGAAAACCAACCTCACGAATTTTGCAGACATTTGACTGAAAAGGCGTCAAAAGGCAGGTTTCTTAAGCCCGAGAACGGTTCCAAAATCACAGTAACGAAGGAAAAGGAAAGGAGAAAAAGAAAGAGCGAGGAGATCAGGAAAGGAGGAGAAGAAAAAAAAGCAATGGTTGCACTTTTAATTTTTATAGTGAGCTAGTTTGAATATAGTTTTTGGCCGAAAAAAACTGTTGGACGGAAAAGGTCCATTTGACGATAACGTTTTCAAAACGCCGGCTAGATACCAGTACAGCTAAACATATGTTATTACATCGGGAGCAAAAAATGTTCGTGGTAAAATGCAAAGGGTACTACTAACTAACTAGTTAACTAACAATCTAACTGTGGCTAAAATTGTATTTGAATCTATTACATTAATACTCTTTGAACATTTTTATTTCGCTCTTTAAAAATATTGAAGGTCTGTTTGGTAGTAACTGATCACCAAAATGAAAATGTGACTATCATTTCAGTTAACGCTTCTATGACAATCAAATGTCCATAGTGAGACCGGAAAAAAAGTTACATGTTTCATGCAAACTATTCGTGAACAGTTTCACTCAGTTAAAGGAGCTGAAATTTCTCCATGAAAATATGACTGAAGAGGGCCTTAAGTCGCGGCTTAGCTCGGACAATCCTTGTATAAAACATTTTCCATTGCAAGTATTTTTAGGTAAGTATATATTTTAGTGAGGAGGAGAGAAACATCGCTCTACAACCCGTCCACCATATCCCACGCCGCCTCTGTCCAAAATTTACTCAAACCATTTAAAGATATCTTTAAGATTGTTGTTTTAAAAAGCAGCTCTGCAAATGCGTTATAGGAAACTCTATGAAATTTGTATCTGTTTGGTCATCCTTGGGTTTCTTCAGCCTATGCGAATTTATTAGCGCTTTACTTTTTCGAAAATCTTTGATGCTATTAAATATACAGAAAACTCAACATTTTCCGATGTACATCTTTCCGTTACTGATTTTAAAGCCCAAAATTTATTATAAGCAGTCCATTTTTGCGAATGATGACCAAGTATGGGAAGACGAGTGAAAAGTGAAAATCCCATTCCCAACTTCAATCAGGGGGGCGGGGAGAGAAGTTTTAACTTCTCTGATGAATTTTTAACTTTTTTCGAGCTGCTAGAAATCTCTAGATAATATGTGCTTCTTCGAACAGCTATTTCACAGAAACCAGTCGTTGGGTGGCCCGGGCAAACACATGAAAAGACTGAAGGTCTACTAGATGTGCTAAATATTTGACTTTGGTTAAACATTCGATTCTTAAGGATTACTGCATGAGCTGAGTATAATAAACATTGCAGGTAAAACCCAGACAACAGCAGCAATTGTTACCCCGTAGACTGACTTTTTAATGAGGCGATGCCTGAGGGCTGTATAGGGACGAATTGTTGCATGCATCTGATCGAATGAAATTACTGCAATCTTTGTAACAGAGGTCAGAGGAAACCAGACAAAGAGAAAGCCAGTTGTTTATGTCAGTTCCAGGGTTAAGTGCGGAAATTGCACAATGTCGCATAAATAGAGTAAGATTACAAATAGAGAAAAGTGAGAAAATCCTCCGACAAACATATCAACTATGGTCAGGTTTATAACTAGGTACATGGCACGAGTGCCAAGACTGCGGTTTTTTTATAAAAAGAACGATTGATAGAAGGTTCACTGTTATTATAATAGCAACAGACATGGTAAGGAATACAGCGAGCCAGGTGATATCATGGCTTGTTATTTTTTTCGCTTCACACTTTTTTTAATTCCCTTTTTCTCTCTGTTGCTCGTCTACGTTTCAGAAGAATTTGAAAAAAAATTCAATGAAGAAGGTGAACAAAGAAGGTTGATGTTAGTTCCGCAAAGATCGCTAATGGAGATACATTTATAGGACGCTGATCGACAGTATCGGTTGTTGTGACAAACGGTTTAGTACGTTTTTATTCCGCATGCGTCTCTGCTGAAACAAAGGAAGTTTAATGGTGTTTTCCTGTTTTGTAAGCTATAAAAGTTATCATAAAAAGGAAACTCTTGATTTTGAACAGCAAATGGTCAAGGAACTTTCAGAGCTACTGCTGAGAAAATATCATAGTTTTCAGGCTACGTTGTGATGCAAACTATACAGTCATAAACAATTATTTGAAAGAAGATCATTGCAGTTATAGACGCAAAAGGCTTTCTTTTCCCAAATGCAAAAGTTGCGTCTACAACTGCAGATGGTCTTCTTTCATAAAATTCTTCACCTCGCAGTTCCCATATATGATTTTCATATATTTTGATAGCTTTATACGTAAACAATTTCACTCGGTTAACGGAACTGAAATTTCTCATATGAAAATATGACGAGAGCCTAAGTCGCTTTCAGCTCGGCTAATCCCTGTATTAAAACATTGCGAGCATTTATGTGTAGGCATTATATAGTGACTGGAGCGAGAGAAACATGGCGCTGCTTGAAACAACCCATCATACCCAAAGCCAGCCTTCTCAAAAATCCTATTATAATCATTTTAGGATATCTTTTTAGATTTGTTTTAAAGCTTTGCAAATGCTTTCTAAGAAGCACTATAAGATTTTTAACTGTTTTGTAATTGCAAGAGCTCCTTAGTCTATGCGAATTTAATACCTCCTTCTTATTACTGTTCCAAAAATATTTAATGCTTTTGTATAGTTTACTGAAAACTCAAAATTTTGCGATACCTCTTTCCGTTACTGTTTCCAAGGCCAAAAATTTTAGTAGTCCTTTTTAGGAATGATGATCAAACCTGGGAAGTGAAATGTAAAAAACGAACTTCAGAATATCGTAGAAAAATTCATAGACTTAAACCTTCAAAAAACTGAGACGAATGGAAATTTTTTATCTTGAAATTTTTTTATCGAGCTATAGAAATTTCCAGACAATTCTGTGCCTCTTCGAATAGCTTTTCTACAGAAAAAATTCAACCGTTGCGCCGGTCCCTACCACATGTTTGAAAAGGTCAAAAAGTCCTATGAATGTCCTAAACAGTCGTCTATTAGTAGGACTTAGGTTTAAAAATATGCGGTTCTTAAATCATGAATGCTCAACTCTACGATAGACTTGCATTTTCTTTTCTTCTTGTGCGTAACTAACCTTTCACAAAATTCTTTGCTTGATGCCTCCACTGACGAAGCGGAAAACGAGTTTGCAAAATATCAATTAGGGTTGTAAAGGCTTCTGCGTTGGATATTACTCCGGCGAAGAATAACGTCCGGCTCGATTAATACGGTCTTAAATTAATTCGATCTGAACACCTGTTTTGGGAAATATTGCACTTAACATAAAATATTAAAATAATTGCCTTTGCTTATCATTTTTTCCGCTTAATATACGTACCGCCTTAAAAAAAAGGTTCTGAATTAAACTTTCAGTTGTTAAATTGAACTTCCTCTTTCAATCAGCCCACATTAAATAGACCCTACTTGATCGGCACTCGCAATGATTATATCGCCGCGCGGTCTATCATTCGAGCACTAAACGAACACGAACTGTTTCTTTAAATTGTATTTTATTGACTTGTATATAATTAAAGCTCCGTTAAAACATTATTTGATCTGTAATTGTCTGATAAAAGTATGCAAAAATGCTCTCCTTAACTAAAAGTTTTTCAGTTGGTTGGTTGCTTGCTTTGTCCTATGGAAGAAAATTTATATCAAAGCCGTGTGAGGGGACATTACAATCAGTTGACTAAAAACTGAAGGTGATAATATAAATGTTTGATTTATATAGTTTTCAGCTGGGTAATTAACTAACTGACGCCAACGAAGCTTGTTCACCTGAGTATAAGAATGACTGACCATTTCAGCTAACCCTACAATCAATTATCCATATTGAGAACGGAAAAAGTCGATTGCATTGTCAGTTATCTTCTACCAATTTCAAAGTCAACCGAACTTCTTGTCATGTTAGCTTCATAAATATTTTTTGTGTGACGTAGCTTGTGTCAAATGAATTTGCCACCATTTTCTTTAAAACTCAATCTTCAATGTTTTTTGTCTTTTGACTCCAATACGGGTCGCGACAAGTTCTTCCGCAAAATCAATAAAACCTTACGACTTAACGAAGGAAATTAGGTCTGACGTCTATAGTGAGCTCGACAGCAGCTTATATGGCAATATATAGTGGAACCTAGATATAACAATGGGCTAAGGGACTTGCAAAATGTGCTCGTTTTAACAAGCTTTAGATATATAAAAGTTCTTTCCAAATACTTCAGTTAGTAAGAGTGCTCTAATAGCTCTGAAAATGCGCGCGTTCTAAGCTCAACTTTTTCCGATACCTCTTTCCGTTATTGTTTCAGAAAGCCGAAAATTCCAGTAGTCCTTGAAGTTTACTAATGACGACTAAACCTGGGAAAAGAAAGGTAAAAACCCAAATTCAGTTAATTGTAGAAACATAATCCTGCAGACTGAATTCCAAAAACTGAGACAAACAATGGAACATTCATCTAAGAATTTTAAATCTATCTCGAGCTGTAGGAATCTACAGACAATACTGAGTTTCTTTGAACAGATATTCTACAGAAAAACGTCTTTGTGTGCCTCTACCACATGAAAAGATCTGAAGGTCCTCTGAATGTTTGTACCAGTGGTCTAAGCAGGACTTAGGTCAAATATCCGGTTCTTAAAGAAATACTCAATCGTATGATACCAAAGTTAAAACGTTTTTTGTTTTTCTTCTTTTAAATAACTAACTTTTCACAAAATGCTTTGCTGGATATCTACTCTGATAAAGCGACGGAAAAAATATGCGTCTATATTTGAAAAATTAATCATCAGTTAGGCTTGTAAAAGGTATCTGCGTTGGACAGTGTTACTCCGGCGAAGAATAATCTTCCGGTCTTAAATTATCTGCACATGACTGTTTTAAATATGGAAATATTGCACTAAAGAGTGAGCTAACCTTGAAAAATTTCCTTTGCTTATCATCTTCCGCTTAGTATATCTACCCCCATATATTTTTTAATTAGAACTTTGTTCGTCAATCAGCACAAAAAACAAATCGGCCCTATACCATTTGATCGACACACACAATAATTATTTCACCGCTCCACACAGAAATTTTAGAACAATGGAGGAGTATGAAACAAACTAGATAACCAATTGACACTAACAAATGAATGATTGCCATACGTAATAACTATATAACCATTCTCCAACCCAGTTTTGCGATACCCCTTTCCGTTACTGTTTCCAAAGGCGAAAATTTTAGAAGTCCGTCCTTTTTTACTAAGTGGTGACTAAACCTTCAGAAAATTGTAGAACAGTTAATAGACTGAAACTTCGAATAACTTATATGAATTTCATCTAAAACTTTTAACCCAGTTTCTAGAGCTATCTAAAGAAATTTCCAGAAAAAAATGATTGTGCTTGATCTTCTAACAGAAAACAGTCGTTGAGTTCCCCTACTACACTTGAAAAGATCTGAAGGTCAACTGAATGTCCTAAACCGCGGTCTAAGTAGGACTTATATTTGCTTCTTTGAGATTAGTATATCTATCGCTCTATAACTGGTATGTTTAACATCAAATTTATGCTCACTGACTGCATGATACCGCAGTAAAAACTTTTAACATGTTTCGTTTTGTTCTAGCCTGTTCACAGACCCTCTATTTTCTCTTCAAAGTCCGTCGAGCGCGCGTGATAAAAAACAAAAACCGCGGGGGATTTACTGACCACCCGAAGGGGTTTGGGGTTGGGGAAGGGGAAAATTCTTTATTTTTTTTTCTTGCGCTCCGCGCTCGTTCTCGCTCGCCAATGTTTTCGAAAAGAACGAAAAGAATAATAAAACAGCGTCTGTGTACAGGCTAATTTTGTTCAGCCGTTTCGTTTTGTTTATAAATAAATAACTAACCTTTCGCAAATGCTTTGCTGGATGTCCCCACTGATGAAGCGAAAAAAGTATATTAATAGTTTTTGCTTGGAAAATATCAGTTGGGCTTGTAAAAAACGTCTGTGTTGGAGGTAACGCCAGCGAAAAATAATCTTTCCTCGATTTATACGTTCTTATAAATTATCTGCACACTGCATCTGTTTTGGGAAATAATATTTCACTATTAAAAGCTTCAGTAATTACCATGAATAATTGTCTTGGCCATCATTTTTTTACCCCTATAATGTATCTACCCCCACTAAATAACTAAAAATTTGCTGCTGAATTATGCTTTTTGTTAACTTGAACTTCCTTGTTTTAATCAGCCCACAACCAATCGACCCTATTTGATGGACACCTACAACGATTATTTCGCGGCGTCCGTGCATCATTCAAGCAAAGTAGGACACGAGCTGTACAGTAGTTTCTCTAGGTGTCCTTACAGTTTCAAATTATAACTTATTTCATGTCGATAGTTCCTGAATTTTTCTTGAATTTTTTTGATAAAATTATGCCAAGTAAAACAGAAGTGCAAGATAGTACAAAAGAGAACACAATTTAAGAATTTAACAGATCCTTTGGCCAGCGTAGGGACTGGCGGCGAGTGAATGAGTTCCTCTCGCCAGGGCACCGCTATTATTTGCGCGCCAAAATGTATTAATTTCTTTTAGTTTTTTGATTACACTATGTGCATGAATCCCATTGGAATAATTAGACCTTTCCTGTTTTGTGCTCTTATTTTTAAGCATGTCTCATAAGCCGCTACCGTTATAACATGTTTCCGCTTTATCTGAATTGTAGCAATTTAAACCTTCTTGCCCCATGTCTGTAAAGTAGCTATTTAGCTAAGCACATTTGACCGCGTTAAATAAAGGTTATAGCATTTTATTGTATTGTTTTGTATTGTATTGCACTGCATTGCATTGCATTGCTTTGCTTTGCATTTTATTGAATTTTATTATATAGACACGAGTGTTTTACTGGAAAATACACCACTCGTAAAATTCATAAAAACTACATCCGGGACCCGAGTGGTTTATTTTCCACCATCTCACACGTGAGTTTATCGATGACGTAATGTCGGTAATTTCCCTCTATTATTTTATCGATGTCTTTTTGTCTATATAATAAAAAGAACATTTACACGGCGGCGTGAAGATGTGAATTTTATTTTCTCGTGGCAAAAATAATTTTGCCACTCGAAAATAAAATTCATATCTTCGCGCCACCCTGTAATATCCTCTATGTATTGTATTGTATTGTATTGTATTGTCACCAAAAAACATTTGTGACATTGCCTCCAAAACAAAAAAATTCCGATTTATTCCCGAAATATTTGGCAGTCTTATGATTCTTATTTTTTTCGACCACTCAGTAATGTTCACCTTTTCCAAAGTAAATGTATATTTACATTCGGCGGAGCTAAAAGTAGTGGCGGTGACAGAGAATGTAAATACTTTCCTATTGGTATGAGCGCACGTGATCCGCTATGGCGTTAATTGACTCTATTGTTATCAGGTTTATAAGGTTTTGACAGTTGTAATGTATTCATCTCAGCTCTCGAACTATCAACTTTTATTTTTATATCTTACTTTATTCATCTATCGATTGATTTTTTACCTTTAACCCCCAGAGGTTGTGCGACTTGTTGGGGAATTTTTTCCCATTGGGTTTTTTGGGTTTTCGTATCAGGCGCCGCACGTGAATAGTTTAGCCTGAGTGACTTTATTTAGGAACTTTGTATACCATTCTTTAGTTATGATGTTGAACTTAGTGCGTTGTTTGGACGGCATTAAACACTCAGGCTCCATAGTTCGAGTTGCACACCCATTCCCGTCTCTTAGTCGTGAATATAAATAGGAATCAACGCTTTCAAGCGATAGAATTCGTGGACGGACACTTTTCGGAAAAGCTCTAAATTTAATCTTTCCTAATCTTTCTTCGCAAAACATGCGTAGCTTCGACCACGCAACGATTCTTAGTCCCAGTTTCCACGGTCTCCTAACCTGAGATCAGGCTCTATTTTCGTTTCGCTATGAGAAGCGCTCAAATTGGGCCTGATCTCAGGTTAACGGTCTCCGCTAGGACCGCCTGGCACAATGACCCCCTTTTGTGTCCTAAGGGACGGACCATTAGAAAAGTTATGGCAGGGGGTGGGGAATTTTCGAGCCGCAGGAATTTTTTTTTGTTATCAAATTCCTTGTACGAATTTTTTTAGTCCATAGCATGAATATATTTAGGGTTAATTGGCGTGCATGATTTTTTTTTTTTATTTAATTTTCCCTTGCGCGAATATTTTTTTTGGACCGAGAAGTCGTCTCTTCTTTTAAGTGTATACTTCATTTATTGCACGATTGTTGCATATTTACAGTGTCAGATAAGTTATCATATTTTCAGAGGCTGTTTACAGAATGATAAACTCTTTCTTAATTCGATACTCAGAACACTAGGCACCCTAGAAGATTAACTATTACGCCAGGCCGTTCTTAAAACAGCCCGACCAGCCTCTTTTAAGCAGCCAACCTCAAGTGGCTACATCCCTGTGCACCAGAGGTTTTTGATAGCGCGCGAAGCGATCAACTGCAGAGGGGATGATTCGGGTCGGCCGAAGGCCGAAGCAGCGTGAGGCGAAGGAGTAAAAAAGAGACACAGGTCACAGTATAAAGATATGGCAGAAACCGGAAACCGCGCATGAAAAGACTCTGGCATTCAGGGTAGGTGACCGCTAAATAGACATTACCTGAAGAAATAAATATACCCCTGGTTCCAAATAACTGAGATTACAGAAGACGAACATTCTCCGTATGAATGACACAACTTGTTCAGAAAAATTTAGTCTTGACTATGATTCACACTTTGATTCGAACTCCGATCTGTGTCTTAAAAAGAAAACACGTGAAGCGAGAGAATCTAACTACGTTGACAGCAGAGGATAAAAGATATGATCACCCATCAGGGTAAAAAAAAATGAGACGATGACCGATAATACCATTCGTCTATAAAAGCTGCTATAGATAGTCTTAAAATTCGTTTATAATTCACTCAGTCCTTGCTGTCATAAAACTTGGTGAGGACTTCTTTGACTACTGATCACCAGAATTATCAAAGTACGAAAAGGGATATCTAAACAACTTTGAATTCGACTGAAATGCCCTTGATTTTTTCGAGATGAGAAACTTATTCCGGTGTGGGTAAGATTATTTCAATAACCCGGATGTTTGTGGATTTAACTGTTATTATTATAGTCAGTCGGCGTTTCTAACATCAGTTCGCTCGTCCAAACGTGTTTAAACAGGTTAAACAGGTCCAATTTGTCTACACAAATTTAACCAGTTTAAAAATGGCCAGAAGCTGCATCGTCTTCGAGCCTCCATCTGGTTCCACTAAAGTATCCCAGCGCGTTAGACTTCCACGATTGAGGATTCTTTTCATGCTGTACTCCTCGCGACTGGAATTGCCTCCTTCACACTAGATTCTAGTGACTCTAAGCTCTAACATAAACTTCAACGACTAACCGATGAATCAGTTTAACTAGCTACACAGGACACCAAACGCCGTCAATGACTGTAGTTTAATAGCTGGAAATCCTATTCGGCTTTAATGAGCTGAAACCTGTAATGGTGGCGCAAAAGATGAATGAATCAAAAAAGCCTGAAAATCTAATACGCTGTGACCGCTAATTTTTTGAAAGAGATGAAGGCTCCGGGATTCCTGAGAGGGCGAAGACCATTTGACGCGCAGCGGTCTGCCATTACACTTCCTAATGACCTTTCTGTTTGTATTTTATAAACCTCGCTAAGTTCACTCTCGCGGCATCTATCACAGGATAATGATCCCCAAGAGTTCTTCTCTCAGTTTTTACCTGAAAAACAACAAATGCGATTCTTAGAAAAGAGTACTTCTCCTTGAAAACAAAGCCTAGTTAGTCTAACTTTTTCAACGACCCACGAATTCGGTGTTTGAAGATTTATAAAAATTAAAACCAAAACAAAATTACGAAACTGCATTCAAAAATCAGTTGAATACCATTTTATTTGATACGATTTGATAGGTAAAGGTGATTAAATCGGGAAAACATTTCGAAAAATTTTGTACACTGATTCCTCGGCACTTCCTAAACTGCAAGAAAACGACACTCAAATCGGGGAAGCGCGAAATTGGATATTTTTCAAAAAAAAAAAATTAAGAAGGTGATGTTTCCGGCGCTAGCCACTCAATCGATATGATCAAACTAAGGAAAACTGACTTGTATGTGACTGTTCCTTACCCTAGCTTTTAGAATTGGTACCAACTGTTGAAGGTTGATCATGAGACCAATCGAGTCTGCAGCAGCGTTAACCAGCGGTCCGTCGGCGAAAGTATCAAAAATGGCGTCCAAGGCTTCACATATCACCCAGAGACTGTATTGACCGACCACAATATCACGGAAGACAGTGCCTAAAGACTAATAAAAAGAGAAGCTTGGTTGATTCTTAGGATCCCATGAAAAACAACACTAAAGCACTAAAAAAACGGCAAAGCCCAAAGATGAGAGACAGAAAATTGTGAAATCCGCCCTGAACCTTTTTCGCTAAGAGTCAACAATTCATGACAAATGGCTCTAACTTTTGACTCAGTGGACGACCTAATTGCGCTGTTTTCGCCATGGAAGCAAGAAAACTATTCAGTTGCTCTAAATGTACAAGTAAAAAGCATTCACAAATTATACCTTACATAGCATAAACTTGATCTAGGGCTAATTTAATCATCTTCCAAGATCCTCCATTAGTGTTGTCTAAATAACGATAATTAAAAGGGGAAGCAAACCTTCAGGATCTCCAGCCTGTTGTCTTTTCTGGCGGCCATCTTGCCGATGAATCCCAGAATGCTTATCAGCTTGACTTTCACTGCTTCACATGAGGTTTCGACAGCAACACGGCACAATATGGTCACATGTTCAGCTGTTATACACTACAAAAAAAGCACCACCCAAATTCAGCTTTCACCTATGATCAGCTGCTCAATGTGTATTGCAAACGAGCGAGTTTAAACCTATCTTCAACAAATCAGGTTGTTCCAGGTTGTGACAAGTTGTCGCAGAAAGTAGAGAATAGTTCTGCTTTTTGTAACAAAACCTGTACGGGTTTCGCGTTTTACCGGCCCAAGGAAAAGTCATTGTGCAGCAGGTGATGTATCTACCGTGTATTGCGCGACTGCTGCGTAATTTTAGCCAATAAGAAGTCAGTACTCACGCAACATGCAACAACTTGATTTGTTACAAGACAAGCTTCAACGCGGGTGGTAAAACACGTAACATCACTTTTCAACCCGTTTTGCAGCAATGTTGCAAAACACGTGTAACATTTTTGTTACCTGTTTTACCGTAGCTTTAGGAAAAATACTTTGGAGGAACTATTTATCATTAGTAAAATCCAACTAGTGGTCTATTATCAATGCTGCATTCTGATTGGTTGAGCTACTACTAGGCTATATGTTATAGCCCACTAGTAGCGGAAAGCGCCGGCTTTTTTGCGGCAAAAAAGGATTAAAGTCTAGCTTTAACTAGCGAAAGTTGTTTTGTCTCGATATTTTTGACCAACTAGTTGGATTTTACTAAAACAATTATTCCTCTCGCCCTCATGGCCTCTGAGTCAATAGCCCATGAGACTCAGAGCCTAATCGGGTTCGAGGAATAATTGTTAATTATCATTTCGATGCTGCCAGACGTTCACGTAGAGTTGCTTTTCAAAACGTTCGCCTTTTTTACCGGAAGATAACCAAACAATTGCGTTGTTCTGGTTACTTTTTACAGCTGACAAAAGTTGTTGATTAAATCGACGGCGATTGACTTGTTTCATCTACATGTACACTTTAGAAAGCGAGTGAGCCCTAGACAAGCCAAACCTAAAACGTAAAAAAAAGCGATTAGGAACTTACTTGAGGCTCTTGCAGAGAAACCAGTTTGTCAATCACTGATCGTAGAACTCCAGTGGCTGCTTCTAGAAAATCCTCCTCGTGGTACACAAATCCTCTGGCTAAGGTTAAAGAAATAGCAGTTTTACAATAAAAATTGTGGCCCAAAATAGAGTAACTATTAATATTCAAAAAGAAGATACAGACAATCAAAGTAGAGATAAAAGAACTGAAAGCAAAAACAAGTGGCTATCGCTGAGCCCGGGAAAAAGCGTTTGAGCAATACCGTCATTGTATGGCGTACATTTGCGGACAAAAATAATTGAAAATATAATACAATTTGAAGTTCAAAAATTAGACTATCCATGTCGAAATCTCGTCGTATAAATTTGAAATCCCAATGAACGCAGTCGAAATAGCATCATTCGAACTTGAAGTTACTACTTTGAACAAGTTGAAACTATAAAGGGAAAACTCGACATCGCGGATGTTAAGTTCAAATCACCATTCCAACTAAAATGCAGATTACATGATTTGAACTTCAATTCACCTTCTCCACTCTAATAAGCTACTTAATCGTCAACAATGCAACCATAATCTCCCACAAAATTCCAAATGAAACCTTTAATTTGAACTTAAAGTCACGTCACATATTCGAATTCGAAAAACCAAAATTTCAATTCGAAAGGAAGCGGAAGTAAAAATACACAGGAACCGGAAATGATAAGAGTTTCGCTACACTGTACATACAGGATGTTTGCATAACTGCATTTTGGCGCGAAATCGAACTCTCTGGTCAATATGGCGGACAATTCTAGCTTTATCTGTTCAAATCAAGCAATTGCAGGTCTGCTCCGTTACATTTGCCCAATTATTTTATTCAACAATCTAACTTATCTATAAAAAAACTATGTTTAGTGAAAATGGCTTACTCTAAATCGATGTGGCATGGGTGATACTGGCCTTCCTATTTCTACAAAATTTGTGCACCTTTTAAAGGAACAGTATCCCGTTACTGCGCATGCACCAAATTTTGATTTTTGGACAGGATGTCGCGAAATCAAAAGATGCGAGAAGAGTAAGATAATGTTGAAACATCCGTTTGCATCGCGCTTGGTCGGGTTCAATACGACACTAAAACTTCTCAGGATTATAGATCAATGATATATTGTTCCTGTTAAGTTTCGATTTGGGCAAAATCTGGATTTTTTGGCGTTACTTTCATTGCCGTTTGCCGGAGGACCAAAAGATTGGAAGCACTTTGATGCCGATTGAAGGCTTATTTCTTCTGCTAGCTTCCATACAAGCTCAGATAATTGTGAAAGGAATACGCAGAAATGAAACAGCAACAATAAAGACTGTAAGAAAGAAACCGTTGAGACATTGATGTGACTGAGGAGATCTTGTGGAGGGGAGCTTCGTGAAGCAGAATGTTTTGCAACGACGCGTCAGTAAACTTTTAAATGAATCTCCGTACGGCCGACAAAATCGACCAAACAGGCGCTACACGTTTTGAAAAACTGGTGACATGAATCATAATATCATTCTTGACTAACCTTTGTGATGATTCATAGCGTTGAGATTGCATTTTTATTTATGTCTTTCAAACGTTTGAGGCTAGAACGCGAGCAAATCAGGCAAATATTAATGGACTTGGAGCGATTGACCTCTGACACGAGTTTCAAATTAGAAAATATGTTTTTAAAGCGAGCGGAACGAGATTTTCGGGTCGCGAGGCGGCCCAGCTAGCGATAAAATCGCGATGAGTCTTCGAACCGCGAGCCAAATTTTTATATAAGACGAAAGACGTCTTCGAAAGTCTAAAATATTACTTGAGAATATAAACAACAAATCTCTGTCGGCGGTGCGGTCCGGAAGGAAATCTCGTCGAGTCAATTTGACAGTTCTATTGTCTTTTAAAGAAAAAACAGATGACGCCCGCGCGTGCGCATAATCGGGACACTGTCCCTTTAAGTACCGTAAAAGTGCTGTGAGAAGTTATAACCGTTATAATGGCTAAACTATTTTCGGATAAAAGTAGATAAATGAAAGGAGGAAGTATAATTCTTTGCCACTGTATGAGTCACGATTACGTTATTTTAATGATAAAGCTAGAATTAATTATCGTAAACGTCCTTCAGTTCACCAACATGGCGGCCCCTCGAGGCCTTGTCAAAACTGTCATTCTTGTATGTTTGGAACCAAAGAGAATTCAAACCTTAGCATATGCATTCAGTATTTAGGAAACCATTCTAAGACTACATGCCAAAAATCAGCCAAATCGACGAGGTACCGTGTCAGGCCGAAGTTCAAATTTTACAGAAAACCACTCTTAAGTTTGCCACGACAGCTCCTCACAATCTCTTGGATTGTCCTTGAGTCACCCTTATTCGAGTGAAGGGAAAATCTTTTCGCGCCAAAATGCAGTTATACAAACATCCCGTATGTAAAGTGTAGCGAAACTCTTATCATTTCCGGTTCCTGTATATTTTTACTTCCGCTTCCTTTCGAATTGAAATTTTGGTTTTTCGAATTCGAATATGTGACGTGACTTTAAGTTCAAATTAAAGGTTTCATTTGGAATTTTGTGGGAGATTATGGTTGCATTGTTGACGATTAAGTAGCTTATTAGAGTGGAGAAGGTGAATTGAAGTTCAAATCATGTAATTTACATTTTAGTTGAAATGGTGATTTGAACTTCAACATCCGCGATGTCGAGTTTTCCCTTTATAGTTTCAACTTGTTCAAAGTAGTAACTTCAAGTTCGAATGATGCTATTTCGACTGCGTTCGTTGCGATTTCAAATTTATATGACGAGATTTCGACATGGATAGTCTAATTTTTGAACTTCAAATTGTATTTTATTTTCAATTATTTTTGTCCGCAAATGTACGCCATATCATTGGTTGAGGAAATGGCGCGTGATTCTTTGAGCCAATCAGTGAGCGTAACGGTAAAGTTAACTTCGCTCTTCAATAGACCCATCCACGGTTTTTTCAACTTTTGTTGTGAACCTGTTAGCGAAAACTTGTCGACACCGCTATAAAAAGGACCTTAAAAAACTAGTAATAAAGCCGAGGTTGAGGGTGATTTGTTGAAAACTGACGAAGATGTGACTTAGCAAATTTTCGAAATTTTTCAAACGTCTGTAACGGCTGCGCGACTTTGCTGAGGAATACCTTCGCTCAATTTAAATGTATTACCTTCAAACTTGATCAGTTTACTAATTTCAGTTAACCCTTTCACTGCCACAATACTTGATGGAGTTTTCTGAGGTGACTCTAACTTTTTAGTCTGTGGACGAAATCCTATGATGTGACCATTTAAATGAAAGCTCTCTGCCTTTACTTACACTTATTCAAAATTTCAACAAAATGAAATTTGAAAATTTGGTCGAAATTTGCTTTTGGCTAAATTTGGCAGTGAAAGGGTTAAGGAACTCTTTTTGGCAGTATCGATGAATATTCCCTAACTGGCCCCCACCAAACGTTAAAAAAAACGTGGAAGGGTTCGTTTTAAAGAATTAGTACAAAACATCTCCACTTACTTTCAGCGGCAAAAGTTAGAGTGAACAGCGAACACCACAACTGTCCAAGCGCCACCTCTCCTCCTAGTAGATCAGCGTCTAAGGCTGTCACTATATTGTTGAGACAGATCAGTGCTCTCGCTTGTACCGTACTTAAACTAAAAGCAAAGATTTATACTGATTTTGAGTGCGGCAAGACTAAGTAATCTTAGCCATGACAATTCACACAGTCAGTCCTATGAACTGACCCAACACCTGTCGATTCGTTTACGATGACCACTAGAGGACAAAGTTTTTCGAGTATTCTCAAAAAATATCATCACCCCAGAAAGCTTTATTGTTATTTTTTTTCACCATTAAAGTTAGCGCGGTTATTTTTATTGAAGGAAGTTACAGTGATGCCAACTCTCCCGCTTTTGGCGGGAGACTTACGCTTTTTTGCCTCGTCTCCCGCTCTCCCGCTTTGGTACATAAATCTCCTGCTTTTTACCTCCACTATAAATATTGAATACTTAGTAAAAAATAAAACAGACTTAGTTTGAGATTTAGCCCATTTTTAGCTCAAAACTTGAATTTTTCTTATTCGCAGTACGGTTTCTGGGGCATTTTTGCATGTATTTAGTCATTGACAAAGATTATTTCTAGCATCAAAACGATGATTTCGAATTTTGATAGTATGTACATCATTTAAGACTTCATAGAATGTCCTAAGTCATTCCCATTGGGGGCTGGGTTAATTTTTCAGGGGGGCCATTGAAATTCCGGGGGGGTAGTGAAAAAAGACAGTCTCCCGATTTTAAATCTCCAGAGGCATCTCTGAAGTTAAGCCCTCTCCCAAACACAAAATGATAAAACCCGTAGTGGAATGACGACGGCTATACTGTTTTCCCGCCAAAATGATGCTGGTTCACGCGCGCTCCGTACCTATGCACCTATCAATGGTTGCCCCAGGATGGGGGAGGGGGCGGGGGCAACCCACGGGAATTGAAGCGTACGTGGGTAAGGAATTTGACATCCTGAACGTCCCAGGGGTGGGACATTTGACTCAGCCGCCATCTTGGAAAGTGGAGGACCAGGGAATGAGTGATAAGAAGTCCGCCATCTTAGAAAATACCCAGTAGTCATTAGGATGAGTTTCCTACATTTTGATGTATTCATTTCTTTGTGAAGGATGGCAGAACCAAAGTTAGTAGTATCTTGTTGCTTTTTAAGTTTTTGAAGTTTTATGACAAAAAAAGTATTTTGTCCCTAAACATTGAGTCTCATTTGAAAATATGTCTGCGAGATGAAACTTCCTAATTTCACGCGCCCGCTTTATGGAGTACGTGAGCGCATCAAAAAATGGTCTTTTTCTTTTTCTTTTTCTAAACTTAGATACGGTGCTTTCGGGTTCAACCCCAGAAAATTTCGCCAACAATACGACAAATTAAATGAAATAGAATAAGATCGATAAAGTTTGAAACAATGTCGAAACCGTGCGAGCCCAGGGGGCCCACACAAACTGTGTGACCGTTGTGATGTTTGGATTTTGAGGAAATCAGGGGCACCCAACGAGACTATAGTTCAAAACCACTTAAATATAGCATTGTAGAACGTATTTTAGTATTTAAACGATAGATATAGGCATATTTTTGTCCCCCCAAAATTTTTCATTTGTTCGGATTTCTTAGCTGAAAGTCTGGTGATCCGAAAATAATAGGGATCAAAACTTACCTTCTCGAAAATTTCAGCCAGAAAAAAGGCTCCCGAAAATTCTAGGTGACCTTTTTAGGGTAAAAATCCGTTAAAAATGGGCAATTATACCATTTTTTAGATGTTCGAAAACTCTAGGAGAGGCAGGCAACCAAGAAATTTTACAACAAATGTTCCAAAAATTCTAAAATTCTAATCGTCTTCCGAACAGATATTTTCCAAAAATTGACGTTGGGTGCCCATGAGGAATGTATCGTGATATCGAAAAGATTTTTATTATCATAATATAATACGATGAATTCTTATATATAAGACCAAAAAGGTCTCTCTACGAGACGCTCAGGTGAATATCAAATGTCAAACCCTTTACATCGCTATAATTCGTCGTTTTCAGATGCAAGAACGGTAATACGCAACATTTCAGTAACACGTAAAAAGATGTTCAGTTTGGTCTTATCAGAAACTCATAACGGGTTGAAAACCGGTCTTATGTATAAGAGTTCATCGTATTATATTTCGATAATATGAACCTTTTCGATGTCACCATACATTTCCTCTAAATATTCAACATTACAACGGTAACACAATTTGTGTGGGTTCCCTGTGGTCCGAGTTCACTTTTTTAAAGTGACATTTTCGGTTTGTTCTCACCCGGAAATTTTGCTACCAAAGCAACGTGACGTAAACGACTTCTCCTCTCTATTAGCACTTACTTACTAAATACAGTGACCATAGAAATTTGCTTATTTGTCCGTGCCTGTTAAAAAGTGTGTTAAAGCTAATTAAGAATTCTACAACAATTACAAAGTGTCCTCAAACGTTTTTTTTTTTCTTTCAAGTGAAGCATCACGTGATAGCGTGGCGTGATGTCCAAGTGGCGTGATGGGTCGAGACATAAAATTAGTCAGACGAATCTCACAAGAAATCATAACAAAAAAATGGCGACGCATACAGTCGGCCACCAAGAGCTCCTTCCATGTATAGCGGTCTTAATTTTGTCCACAGTATCTTTCCTCTTCATTAGCGAATCCGATGGGTCGCCATATTATAAGCAAGCTTCGGGCAGAGAAACGCTCGAATCCAAAATACTCGAATACGTTGATTACTTCGAGAGGCCGACAATATCGAGTCCATTGAAAAAGTTTCTCGACCGCCCGAGAGTACTGTATACTCTAGCGAACGCTGCCGAGTTTGCCGTCGACAGACAAAGCATCAAAACACAAAGACCTTATCGACTACGGCAAATTGTCGGGTTGAGAGAACTTCATAATAACACTGCCTTCTGGTTTCATGTGGTTTTGGAAGACGGGAAGTCACTTAAAGAAGCGTTCTTTGATGTCGTAATCCCTCATAGTTCGCTGGAAAAGAAAGACTTTGACTCATCTGAGTTCAGATTCGGAGAATTCGAATACAGTGAAGTTCTGGAGGAAAAATGTGATGAGCTAAGCAGTCGCGCTAACTGTACATGTGGTTACCTCGGCAGATGTGACAGAGGAACAGCAAAGATTTCAGCATGGCTAGCTTTTGCACTTAAAACGCAGAGAGAGATTCAACTTGACACACCTTTCGACCAGATACAAATGGTGTCTGCTCACAATGCTTTCAATGACCGAGCTGATGGGTATGGAATACTGGACGACTGTCCCTGGCCGCCACCCTATAAACATACTTGCCTGGACCTGGCCAATCAGGAGTTTACTTTTACCGACCTACTTGACATGGGTGTAAGGGGCATGGAAATTGACCCTTGGTGGTGTTTTGACAAGATGCTAATGAGCCATGATGATGGCAAGCCTTATCGTGGATGTGCACCCTGGGACAGAAAGTTTGAGGACGGCATAAAAGAAATAGGTGAATGGGTACACAGACCAGAAAACATGCACGAGATTGTGCGTTTGTACTTTGAAGATGGGGCTACCCACACCTTTGGACACGATGACTTAATAAATGGCCCCATTGCAGAGTATCTAGGTGACAAAGTACTCACACCCAATGAATCTGCAAAGTACTTCCCAGGAAGATGGCCGACAACAAGAGAATTGCGGAAACTTCAAAAGAGCGTTGTCATAGCTGCAGGTGGTGACAATCATGGTGGGGAATTTATCTTTGACCTATACTGGAATGGGCTGACAAGGAATGAATTTGTCAGTCATGCTAACTGTTCAGCAATCAAACAAAACACACCATCAAGAGTCTACTGTGACAGCACAGAATATATCTTTTTTTGGGATGGCCCAAAAGAAACTGGTGTTATTCTTGATTTTTCCCAGTTTATGAAGTGTGGGGTGACATATCCTGCCGCGGATCAAGTCAATCCTGTATTACTGGCTACTGCCGTATTCACATGGGCTGAAGGTGAACCTTCCAAGGCTCTAACAGAACAGTCATGTGTGTTCTTAAATGGCAAGACAGAGCGGTGGTATGTAGGGAACTGTCAACAGGCCCACCGGTTTGCCTGTCAGTCTACTATGACAGCCAATGACTGGGTGATAAGTAATGCTACAGGAGTGTACACTAAAGCGGTTTGTCCAGGCGGCTATGAGTTTAGCATTCCTCACAATGGCCTAGAACATCAGACATTAGTTAATGTCATGGATGGCAAAGATACATGGATAAACATTACCCCTTACATTCATTTACTGCAATGATGATGACAATAAGGACCTTCTAATTACTTTTATTATTGGAGAATACAAGACAGCACTCAAACCAAGTTTGTGAGCTGCAGCTGTAATCATTTCTCAGGGCAGCATTTTGCCTGAAGTCTTTCTTTGCTGTGTTCAGTAATGACAATGAGTGTGACCATCCACAAACATAGTACGTTTTAAGATAAATTGCGATGCAATCCATCAGGAAATTGAGTAATTTTAATTTTCCGAATTTTTAGAAAATACCTAGTAGCCATTAGAATGAGTTTCCCACCTTTTGATGTATTCATTTCTTTGTGAAGGAAGGCAGAACCAAAGTTAGGAGTATCTTGTTGCTTTTTCAGGTTTGGAAGTTCTATGACAAAAAGCATTTTGTCCCTCGACATTGAGAAGCAATACTTGCACGAAGTCCCATTATAGAAAATATGCTTTCTACTTACATGTTTTCACCAGATGCTGCCCTGCCACAAGTTTTTTATATAATTCAAAGATCAAAAAATCATACTGGACCACAGTTACAAACACCAGTCCTTATATTAGACATAACCCTTCTTGATGATGACATGTTCTGGTATTGTATATTTTGCATTGCTGTGAATACCGTGTGAAACAAGTCAAAGGTACTTTCGAGACTATAAAATGTGTGTTAAATTGCCAGCCCCGCTAAATATCCAGCTAGAATATATCTTCTACACTTGGGGAAATGCACAAAGTTTTTGGGTACCATTATTTTGTCACCAAGAAAAAAAATACTCTCTGGAGACGCAGTGCTGCAATAAAGACTGTTGTGAGTGTCTATTAGATCGCCCCAGGGATGGGAATTTGACTCAAAATGGAGACCCAAGGGTGGGGAAATTGACATTTGAACACCTGAAAATGTCAAATTTCCCGTGGGTTGCCCCCCCTCCCCACCCCCCATCCTGGGGCAAACCATTGATAGGTGCATTAGTATTGGGAAAATCTCGTACTCGTAGTCGTCCTCGTCTTAGAATCTAAAGCTCTCTTGTATCTTGTCAGAGATTTTTTTTTTCGGGCTCTTCGGTCCAATCTCGTCAACCCCTGGGGACGAGGTTGCGTTACATCATCAGACAACCCACAAAAAAAGTGTTTGCAAACTCAACAAGCCGATAGTCTTACACTTCTAGCAGCTTCTTTCCTTCCTGATTTGCTTTCAAGGCCTCGTAAATGCTTGCTTCGCCAAAATTGCTTTTGCAAAGCACCTGGTCAGAGAGACAAGAGTCCTTTAAGTATTGCGACTGACTGACTGACTGTAGAAAGTACAGAATATTTACACCTCAACTCTTTCACTGCCAGGGTGAATGATAAGGTTCTATCACTAAATCCTACGGTGTGACCATTCAAATGAACGTACTTTTAATTAGCAGTACTTCCGCATGGCACTATATATTTCTGCTTCCTGGGGCGTAGGAGCCAGTCCATAGACCTGTAGGCCTGGGCCTACAAATTTTTTGCTTTGATCACTCTACCGCTTGCAATAAATCATGCGCTGTTGGGGTGAGCTAAAAAGCTTAAGAGCTCATAGTGTCGGTGAGCTCAGTGCGTACTAATCATGCGTGCAATTTTCAGGATATGCGGAAATGAAAGTCAGCCAGACCTACAATTAGTCGAAAAGCTGGCTACGCCCTTGGCTTTCAACAAAATGATGTGGGAAATTTTGCTGTTGTTTGACCTTAGCTACTTTTAGAAGTGATGGGTATGACCTAACTGACAAAATCAAGGCTTCAATAGTTGAACCTTTCCTTACTGACATTTCCATTAAAATATTTGTATAAGTAATAGCATGATTTGTAGTGACATTTGGCACAAATACCACGAGTGATATTTCGAAATTGTTACACATAATTTCACGAGCCGTTAGGCGAGTGAAATTTGAGACAATTTTGACATGTCACGAGTGGTATTTATGCCAAATATCACCTACAAATAATTCTATTATTTGTTTATACTACTACCCCCAAAGGTTTTGTAATTTTCATAGGTAGGTATTCCAAATTAAGCTGAAATACCACTGCTCTAAGCCAATCAAATTGCAGAAATTTCTCATGTAGTAGTATAAATTAAGACACACAAGAAACCAAGCCTCGTGGAATGTCCACATGTTTACCCCGGACAATTCAGTAACGACGACTCTTGCGGGTGTCCCTTTGATGTCCGTATAAGGAAGTTTAACAGTACTGTAGTTAAATCAAAACAAACCCTGTCAAACCAATGGACCAATCAGTATTCGAGGCAAATATTTGCAGCCAGTCACAAACGCGGGAAAACGCTTGCGCGTAAGTCTCGTGCGTCTGCTGGTAACCGGTCATTTCGCCCCCAAGTCATTTCGCCCCGGTTACTATGCCTCCTATTTTCGAGTCATTTAGCGCACTCCAAATATAATATTTCTCGCTCTATAAGCAATACGGCAAAACAAGCGCGAATCAAAATATAATATTCCACGTTCTAAACTAGAGGGTTAAGTATCCGGGGCGAAATGACTGTAAAGACGTCTGCTGATTGCTCGAAAAGTCAAATAATCATACGTTTACCTACCCTTTTGGGAACCCCTTGAGTGACAATCGCGTTAATCATTTCCGCAGACAAACTTTCTGGATTCTGAGAACAAACACAATGATTACTTAACGATCATTGACAAATACAAAGTCCAATTGACCCTCGGGTTAACTGCCTGAGAAAACTTAGAAACTTTTTAAACGTGACAATTTTTAGATACAACACGGAGAAATGTTTGGGGGATGCAAAATGTGGTAGCCTTTTTAGAGAGAGTCTCACCATTTCAATATCAAGAGCGGTTTCTTCTTCAGTTTCTTCATCTACTGAGTCCAAACTGATGCAGTCATCTTCGTCTTCCCACTCGTCCTCATTAGAATCTGCAGAAAATCAGTTCGCTATGTTAACCTTTTAACTCCAAAGAACAAAAGGTTGAATAAACCGCGAGTCAACTGTAGAAAAATGACCCTCAGCGTGGCAGGATTTAGGGTTAGACAAGGGTGCTGCCTTTGCCTGCCAAGCGACAAGACCTCCGCGTGGCTCCGGGATAACTACGAGGATATGTGGAAATCGCGGCCTCTCTCCAGTAGGCGACAGTAAATACTGCCCTCAGTAGAGATGAGAAGTGACGTCACGTTGGCATGGTAGCAAAATTTCTGGATCACATCAATAGGGAGCTTAAGAAACCACAACGGCGACGGCAACGAGAATGGCAAAAAAAGCAATAGGTTTATACGCGCAAAACCGAACAATTCGCACGTGCGTCACGCCTTTTTATACATTTCCTAGTCGTCGTCGCATGACTGCGATATGAACTTCCTCGTTTAGTACGGGAGCACAAAATAAAAATTTTCTTTTTTTTTTCTAAACATAGATATGGTCCTTTCGGATTCAACCCCAGAAAATTTCGCCAAAATTAACATTTGACAAATTAAATGAAGTTGAATACGATCGTTAAAGTTTGAAACAGTGCGAACCAGGGGGCCCACACAAACGGTGCGGCCGTTATGATGTTTGAATTAAGAGGAAATGTATGGTGATATGGAAAATGCTCTTATTATCATAATAATACGATGAATTCTTATATATAAGACTAAAAAAGTCTCTCTGATATACGCTCAGGTAAATGTTGAATGTAAAACCCTTCAAATCGCCACAATTCGCTGTTTGCAGCTGCAAGAACGACAATACGCAACATTTTAGGTAAAAAGATGTGTAGTTTAGTATTATATTCAGAGCCGGCTCCACACCTTGAGATAAGCGGGGGGCGGTCATCCAGACCCTGGGATAAGGGGGCGGGCCCCCCGGGCCCCCCGGGCCCCTCCCCTAGATCCGCCACTAACATTTCGATAACATGAACCTTTTCGATGAAACCATACATTTCCTCCAAATTCAAAACTTACAACGGTAACACAATTTGTGTGGCCCCTTGTGTTGCGAATTCTCTCTTCTAAAAAAGTGACACTTCCGGTTTGTTCTCACCCGGAAATTTTGCAACCATACCAACGTGACGTATCAACGTCTCCTCTTTTTTGGAACTTAGTTGCTTAATACAGTGACCAGGGAAATTTCCTTATTTTCCTGTGTTTGTTAAACAATGTTTTAAAGCAAATTATGAATTATACGAAAATTAAAAAGTCTCCTCATTAAGGGACCAAGGAGGGGGACATTGGGGGCTACCCAATACCGCAAGAAATATTGGCAAATAGCAAAATACCGATACCGCATTTATGATCAGTCACGCTTACTTAACGTTGTATCCATCTCGCGCGCTTTATCTCAAGCATGTATACACCAGAAATCAACCTCAGACTTCGCGAGAAAACGTGAGAAGATCTCGAATTGAACGGTACAACAATCGAAAAGCCAGGTCATTGGATGTCCTACCAATTTCCTGATCACAGAGTAACTGTCCGAAATTGTGTATTCATTTACCGTTAAGTCCAAAGTCTTCCAAATATTGACCTACATTAGACAGGAGAGACCAAATGACGGTAACGCAATACCGTGGAGGATCTTCTTTTACCAAATACCGTTACCCAGAAGGATGAAAAACCGCATGCCGCAGGGCTGGATGATACAGCAATACCGCACATTAAAATCAAAATTTCCGAGATACCGCCTGAAAAAAAGCTCAATACCGCAATACCGTAAACCCTCATGTCCCCCTCACCAAGAAACATGGTTTTTCTTACGTGAAGCATCGCGTGACAGCGTGGCGTGATGTCTGGGAGACTGGGTCCAGATATAAAACTAGTCACAAGATTCTCACAAGGAAACATAAAAAAATGGCGACGCATACAGTCGGCCATCAAGAGGTCTTGCCATGTACAGCAGCTTTAATTTTGTCCACAGTATCTTTCTTCTTCATTAGTGAATCCTATGCGTCGCCATATTATAAGAAAGCTTCGAGTAGAGAATCTCTTGAACCCAAAATACTCGAATACGTTGATTACTTCGAGAGGCCGACAATATCGAGTCCATTGAAAAAGTTTCTCGACCGCCCGAGAGTATTGTATGCTCTGGCGAAAGCTGCCGAGTTTGCTGTAGACAGACATAGCATCAAAACACAAAGGCCTTATCGACTGCGGCAAATTATCGGGCTGAAAGAACTTCATAATAACACAGCCTTCAGGTATCATGTGGTTTTGGAAGACGGGAAGTCACTTAAAGAAGCGTTCTTTGATGTCGTGATCCCTCATACTAGTTCGCTGGAAAAGAAAGAATTTGACTCATCTGAGTTCAGATTCGGAGAATTCAAATTTAGTGAAGTTCTGGAGGAAAAATGCGATGAGCTAAGCAGTCGCGCTAACTGTACATGTGGTTACCTCGGCAGATGTGACAGAGGAACAGCAGAGATTTCAGCATGGCTAGCTTTTGCACTTAAAACACAGAGAGAGATTCAACTTGACACACCTTTTGACCAGATACAAATGGTGTCTGCTCACAATGCTTTCAATGACCGAGCTGATGGGTATGGAATACCGGACGACTGTCCCTGGCCGCCACCCTATAAACATACTTGCCTGGACCTGGCCAATCAGGAGTTTACTTTTACCGACCTACTTGACATGGGTGTACGGGGCATTGAAATTGACCCTTGGTGGTGTTTTGACAAGATGTTAATGAGCCATGATGATGACAAGCCTTATCGTGGATGTGCGCCCTGGGACAGAAAATTTGAGGACGGCATAAAAGAAATAGGTGAATGGGTACACAAACCAGAAAACATGCACGAGATTGTGCGCTTGTACTTTGAAGATGGGGCTACCCACACCTTTGGACACGATGACTTAATAAATGGTCCCATTGCAGAGTATCTGGGTGACAAAGTACTCACACCCAATGAATCTGCAAAGTACTTCCCAGGAAGATGGCCTACAGCAAGAGAATTGCGGAAACTTCAAAAGAGCGTTGTCATAGCTGCAGGTGGTGACAATCACGGTGGGGAATTTATCTTTGACCTATACTGGCATGAGCTGACAAGGAATAAATTTGTCAGTCATGCTAACTGTTCAGCATTCAAACAAAACACACCATCAAGAGTCTACTGTGACAGCACAGAATATATCTTTTTTTGGGATGGCCCAAAAGAAACCGGTGTTATTCTTGATTTTTCCCAGTTTATGAAGTGTGGGGTGACATATCCTGCCGCGGATCAAGTCAATCCTGTATTACTGGCCACTGCCATATTCACATGGGCTGAAGGTGAACCTTCCAAAGCTCTAACAGAACAGTCATGTGTGTTCTTAAATGGCAAGACAGAGCGGTGGTATGTAGGGGACTGTCAACAGGCCCACCCATTTGCCTGTCAGTCTACTATGACAGCCAATGACTGGGTGATAAGTAATGCTACAGGAGTGTACACTAAAGCGGTTTGTCCAGACGGCTATGAGTTTAGCATTCCTCACAATGGCCTAGAACATCAGACATTAGTCAATGTCATGGATGGCAAAGATACATGGATAAACATTACCCCTTACATTCATTTGCTGGCATGACGATGACAATAAGGACCTTCAAATTAGTAATGGTAACAGGACTGAGTGGAGTCCAATTCGGTCTGTAATCATAGTAACGAGTGATTAACAAAATCGGACGACCGCATCTGGGGAGTCTGATTTGTTTAATCACGAGTGTGATTACAGACTGAATTGGACTCCACTCATTCCTGTTACAAATTAATCATAACTTTAAAGGGAACCTCCACTTCAACAAAAAGATAACTTTAAATCACAGGAAATAACTGTTACAGTCAAGTCAATCTAAAATATTTTTAAAGAAAGCGTTTGTATCCGAAAGAATTAACTTTTAGATTCGCCTATTTTTGTTTTCAAATTTTGCGGGCGTCGCCATCTTGAATAATTGTGACGTGTAATGGTTGCCCTATTGTTATTAAACAAAAGCTCTTTGTGTCAGAACAATAGAGCAACCGTAACACGTCACAATTAGTCAAGATGGCGGCGCCCGCGAAATTTGAAAGTGAAAATAAGCGATTTTAAAATTCACTTTTCCTGATATAAACATTTTTTTTAAGACAAATTTCCAACAAATTTGTTTATCAACATAATTTTATTCGATTTAAACTTATTCTGTAGTAAGAGTGGAGGTTCCCTTTAACAAAAGGCTCTTTTTAAAATCAAAACACAAGAAATTCCAAGATTTTTTGGCTGGCAATGAAAAAAAAAAGCCATTTAAGCATGCGCCTGATGGCACCTACTGTCCAATTACTTAGGCCTGATGCGTACTGTCCTCTTAAACTGTCCTATTAAGGCTGAAATCAGGGCAGTTGATCATGTTGATAACCAATCAGATTTGAGAATTTTGTTATAGTTATGATTACTTTTATTATAATTGGAGAATACAAGACAGCACTCAAACCAAGTTTGTGAGTAGTAGATAATCACTTCCCAGGGTAGTTTTTTGCCAGACATCTTTCTTTGCTGTGTTCAGCAATGACAATGAGTGTGACCATCCACAAACATAGTTAAGTACTTGTTTAAAATTAATAAATCAAAACACTGGTTGACCTTGAGCCATTGACAATTTCAAGGTCATAGATCTAACAACAGTAACAAACCCTACCAAAACGAACTACGAAATTCCAGTTGCAAGTGGACAAATAATTTAGAGTGACTTTAGCAAGTTATAACTTCTGTCTTCTCAAGAGATATATATTGGTAATGGAATAAAATATTTTGTCCTATTTTATAGTTAAATGAAGAAATTGGCCTGATGATCAGGCCTCCTTTATTGTTCATTTTTTCTTAATTGATGAAAGAGTACATCAAAGTTGTATAATAATGTTTGATATCAACAAGCATGAGAGAAATAATGTTGACATTTAAAATAGTTAACATAAAATTTATAAAAAATTATAAAATACATTTGAAAGAAATTTATTTTTTCTCACCATCAGGGCAGCACATGTTTGACAGAATTTCTAAAGCCAGTTGCTGGGCATTCAAAAGCATCTGCACTTCTTTAATCTGTAATGTACAAAGCAGGAATCACTGAAAGATTGTGTAGTAAAGCGTTATAAAAAACAAAATGCTCTTATTCAATTTACAAAAACCACTTCTCTGTTTATTATGGATTGTAGCAAGATAATGGACAATTAGGTGAGATCAGAGACACCCAGCTCTAATTTAATTATGAATTTCTAGCACAGAACCCTGACTACCACTATAAAAAGAGGACACTAGCGTTTTCCTGCATTCTACACACCATTAAAACATAATATTATTATACTACATACAGGATGTTAAAGGGCCATATTAACACAGTCACATGGAACACAGGACCTCTTTTCTTCATTTTTTGCGAGGCACACTTAAAAGATTTCACATAACAATCAGCACAATGACCTGACACATTTTAAGATGGAATCCATCAGGAAATTGAGTAAGATTGTCAGTGAAACTTCAATTAATGTTGTGCATTTTGCTTGATCCTTAGTTCTTGGATATCATTTCATGCCTAATATTAATTGGGGATCATTTCGGGGTTGACATGAAGAGAATAAGGATCATTTCAAGGACAGTATCATTTCGGGGTGGAATTGGGGATCATTTCAGGGTAGGAATCATTTCGGGGGATCATTTTGGGGGCTGTACAGAATACAAAATGTATCAAAACTTAATTCAATAACTTAATTCATTAACTGTTCATCAAAATAATATTATTATCATTTACTGCACATACCTTAGTTGGTTCTGGAAGTAATTTACCGATAACATCAAAGCAGTTGACATCGAGCACTTGAGCCAAGACCCCAACAACAGCTTGAAGAAGCTCATTAAAACTGCACACTGGTATAGTGTAACGGATGTTATACAACACACCTGACAACAAAGAAAAATCTTTTCTGAGAAAGCAGGATCACTTTAACAACCTTTCTGTTAATTTGTATAGAACATTACTCAGTGCAAATAACAGTATCTATCCTCTTCCTTGAGGGTTTTTTAAAGATGATGAAACAAAAAAATATTTTGAATTACAACATCCTAAACTCACTGGAGGCAAGGAGGCAAATCAAGGAGTTGGATACCTATATACCAGCTTTAATAAGGAGTTAAAGGATTAAAATTGACTGCAACCAAATTTTGCCAAAAATCACCCTTTGAAATTAAAGTAGTCAAACTCATTTCTGGTCACTGTAGATGGCTACAACGAGCCAAAACTGCCCAAATCCCCTTTTATAAGTCAAACACTTTGCGGCCTCCTGATTCAAATGCAATGGGCATGTACAGCTCTAAAAAAGACACAGCAGTTGTGACTTTTACTTTTTCATTTTCATTGTTATTTTTGGATCAACTTTGCGTGGTTTTCACTCAACCAATATTTGGGAAAAGATGAGCTGCAGAGGGTTTGAAGCCCTGGCCCTGTTTAGGACAAAAAAAATCATAAAATACAATAATATTACCCTGTTAACGACAACACCCTAAATTAACCCTGCTTAGGACAAAGGACAAAACACATTCCGTCTTGTTTTAAAGCCATCATTGACAATTCCAATAATAGAGTAAGTTCACCCTCTAGTCATTTCTTTTGTATATACCGTGTGGCACAAAATTTTTGCAGGTTCTAATTTCTGCAATTTTTGCCATTTTCCCAGCAATCTGCAAAAATAAGTTCCCGCGAAAAAAAAATTACCGCAACCATTTTTCCCACAAAAATTTCCTCCAGAGTAAATATTTTCTAGCTTAAATTCACACAAAAATACAGTTCTAAGAAATCATGTCTGTTCAATCACAACTTGTCTCTTTCATTAAAGAAACAAAACGGTATACAACGAAATACTGGTTTATTGTTTGAAAACATGTCTTTTTATTGCGAGTACTCAATAAAAACGAAAATATTATCAATGCTGGATACCGGTTACTTTCTAAAAATCACAAAAATTAATTCCTAGCAAGAAAAACCAATCTGTCCTAATGGCAAAAATTAGTTCCCGCAAAAAAAATTCCCACCAAAATTTCATGCCAAACAGTAGTTGGAGTACAAACAAATTTCATTTAGCAAATCAAATCAGTCCATGCAGGCAATATCCTGTTTGTAATAATAAGACAGACTCACACAAAATTAAAAACCTTGTTTAGGACAGAATCAAAAGGACATAAACCATACCCTGTCCAGTGGCATCTTTTCATATAAGAGAGTACCGTATTTCCTCGAATAATAGCCAGGGGCAATTATTTCTTTTTTCGCACCAAAAAGGGGTGATCATTCGAGGGAGGCGATTATTAAAAATATTGCCCACTGATAGTCATGTCCTAAATATTTTGTTATATTTTCCTTTTAAATCAAAAAATACTCACATCAAATAAACTGAACACTTTGGCATTTAAAGTGGTCCAAATTTGGTTCCGTGACCAATGTTAATGTTCTAGGCAACAGAGCTTGAACTGTCACTGATAAGACTCCACTTAAGCTTCATTCTCCAAGTTTACAACTATGGGTATCCCTAGTGGGTAACTTATAGAGGGGGAGGCGATAAATTAAACACTAAATTTTGCATCAAAGGGGGCAATTATTTGACGAAATACGATACATCCCCCAGGTATTACCTGCAGTTAAGACTTTGAGCAGTAGCATGTCACTGGATGAACCATCGGCCATCAATGACTTCTCAAGAGTCTTCATCATATCGCTTGAGCCACAAATAAGCTGAGCAGCTGACACATTATCTTCAGTGACAGTATGAAGACACTGGGCTACAAGGGACAAATAGAAACATCAGTAATAGATCAACAGCTCAAAATATTAACTAGCAACAATTGATGACAAAATTAGTTGAGACACCAACATTTTGCTGACTTAAAAAAGAGAGAATAAATTTTTCCCTCCCCTATCCCCTCCATGCCATGTTATCCCACTGTTTGAGCTACCTGTAGAAAAACACTTCAACTTTCAGTGGAGGGGAGGGAAGAGGGGTGTGGAATGTTTTGTTCTCCAAAGTTACCCCATTTGAGGACAATGTCTCAACAATTTTGCCCCTGATTGCAGTTGAAACATGCTTGGTCATTCAGCAGTGATTTACCTTACATCATATCAAATGTTAAAAAACATTGTTAATACAGATGAAACTGAAGGGAGCTAGTGTAGCTGAAAGAGCAGACATAAAAACAATGACACACTGACCGTCCAATCTTTTGGGAACGTAAAATTGGCACATTTTTCAATAACCAACGAGTCACGCGAGTGCCAAGGGTGCAAGCTGGTAGGGGAGTCTGGAAGAATGCTACCCCTGAAACACTATTCTTGTGTTCTGAGAGGGCAATTTCTTTCTAAAATGTTTGCTAATTTGATTTTCATATTTATGCCTAATTGTATTTGCCTGTTTGTACTATATTTAAGTTTTTTAGGAATCAGTTTCAGTTGAGTACACTCTGTTTGGTGTTTTTGTGCATTTAATTTATCACAACAGATGTCAAAATCAGGATTTTGCTATCCTGATTGCATGTTGGTCGAGATTCAGGATTTTCAAGCAAAATGGGGAGAACCCCAATGAGATTGGTATGGTTGAACAGTCTGCGATGAGTAGAGTTTATGGAAGCATCACAGATGGAAGATGATCATACGTATACTAAGGTAAGAACAAAGCAGTGACCTGGGCACAAGAAGGAAAACGAAGAGGAAGAACAAAGACTACCTGGGATTGCACAGTGGAAAAAGAAAGAAACAAAGCAGGATGGCAATCATGGGACCGCGAAGTGAGGACCATAACAGCAAACCAAGAAAAGTGGATCAAACATTTTGTGGAAGCCTTATTATCCACAGGTGCTTATATTGTTGACTGAGGTACAGAATGTATGAAGTTTGGTTGTATCGAACTAAGTAATCTCTTCATGGTAATGGGGGGTCCGCATTATAACACCCTAATCAAGGCCAAAAATAAGTCAGGTCACTTTATGAAAAATTAGGAAAAACTCTTTTGGTTGTATGGAACTATGTAATTTCTTCATGGTAATGGGGGGTCCGCATTATAACACCCTAATCAAGGCCAGAGAAAAGTCAGGTCACTTTGGGAAAAACTCTTTGATTTTGGCAAAGTTGGTTAAAAGTTAGGTATTCTCTTTCTTGCCACTGTTCTACAGGGTTTCATGATGAAGGTCGTGCAGAAAATCATCCAGAAAATGTTTTCTGAAGTTTAAAAACAAAAAAAAAGTTTAAATCCCGTAAAAAATCTAAACCTCAATATGCTATAAATAACAATAATAAATCATCTTATTTTTTAATAATCTGCATTTTTAATATAGTCAGAAAATCTAAAATATTCTGTTGACAAAATTAATTCTAATTAGTTATAATCTATTAAAATTGACAGGATAGTTACTAAATGATCATAAAAGATGTACAAAACTACTTAGACTTGCAGAAAACCTCACCAGCTGGAATAGCAACAGTTGTTGGATAAAGATCAGTTTTTAGGCTTGAAACAAGGTAAGGAAGAAGTCCTTGACTGTTAAAAATTTCCACTGCTGTACCACTGCTCTCACTTTAAAGAAAAAATAGTCATTAAAAATATAAACAAGATGATTTTTCAAGTTATTAGTTCACTAAAATCTAAGGCACTTCCCATATTTTTTTATTATCAAATTTGTTTTATTATTATCACGCTGCATTTTGTACTTTGTATTGGCCACTGCGACTGAAAATGAAAACCTTATCTCATGATTTGATATTAAGATAACCTTACTCACCAAAGATTCCACAGTAAGCTTACAGCCTGTATTGCTAAGCTTGTTGACTGCCTTTTAAACTCTGAATTGCCTGTACTCTCATTTATAGCACCCAAAGCATCAAGAGACTGAAATATAAAGAATATGATGGTGTTTACAGACAAAATTTGATGGTTTGGCTATAATAAAAATATCACTACTATTGTCAACGTAAATTGGCATGCACATACTGTACCTGTCGCACAAAAGTAGTAAGAGGAGTCATGATATCTTGTTCAACCATTTTGACACACACATCAGGGCCACCTCCGAGGCTTAGATTCCTGCAAAGTATTGACACTGTCTTTAAATGATCATAACATGAATGATAACATTCATATAATTATGAAAACAATAATTATTATTTACTATTGTAATTTATTAACATTATGACGGTAGAAACCCAGTAACTCAAACTCTGAAGGGAAATAAGAAACACTTTGAGTTAGCAGGGGTTCGAGTTATCGAGATCAATTGAATTTTCAATTCGCCACTTTAATAATATTGATAATACTGATTTTTCAGCACTTCAGTGTGCATAGTACAGAGCAAAGTTGCTTATTTCATCAAGAACGGTAACATGATTATGCATTTTTATGATCGAATGCGATCTGTTTGTTGCACCAATTAAAATCAAATTGATTCACAGTTAGTTTTCGTGTTTTTACCCATTACACAACACGAACAGCTAATGGGATGGCATCTGAGTGGGGTAACAAGAACCAAAATTTGAATTATTGGGGTAAATTTCAGTGAAATTTTGATCAAGGAAAGGAAATTTAGTTTGAGTTAGAGGGGAATTCGAGTAATCTGAGTTTGAGTTAACTGAGTAAAAACGACTGAAAACTGGGGTGAAATCCAAGGGAAATAGGACTCAGTTCCAGTTTTAATAGTTCAAGTTATCCAGGTTCGAGTTATCAGGGTTCTACTGTAATAATATGGTCAACCCTACATGTGTGACCACATCTCAAACGCCACCACCTCCCATAAGCAACCACCGATCCATAACACCAAATTTTGCCAGTCAAAGCCCTTTAATTAGATCCTCTCAAGAGGCTAGAGTTGCTCTCAGATCCACCTCAGGTAACTATAACACCTCTTTCATCCTCTCCAAACTTCCTGCATGTTTCATATCTCGACATAGGCATACTGATGCATATAAGACAATAATTTTTGTTAAGTGACATGTTTTATTTAAACAATTACTTGAATGTTCATTTTTATCCAACTGATTCGGCAAATATTAAAACAACCATCCCTCTCAGCATGGGTGCAAAGTGCTAGATACATAAATCAATGCCTCGCATCTCGGGATATACCCAACACCATTCACATCCCCATAGGCAGATATAAGTTCTATATTATCATTATTATTTTTATTTTTGTTATATATTTCTACATCTGTTTAGAAGTTTTTCTTCTTTTACATTTTTTTACCTCAAAGCTCCTGCAGCACCCTCCTGTATTGCTCTGTTGCAGTCAATCAACAATGGTCCAAGCCGTCGTACAATATCTTGCTGAAGAAGCGATGGAATGGCTCCTGGATCAAACACCAAATTTGCCAGGCCTGCACAGGCACACTCACGCTCACATGGATTTGCACTTGTTAGCTAAGATGGACAACGGCCATGAAAATTTAGAAATAGACACTACAATATACTGGAATATAGCTCTTTATTATAAAGCTTCAACAGTATTTGCACTCTGATTGGCTGTTTTCTTGTAATGAACAGTCATTATTATTTTCTTGTAATGACCGGGCATTACTAACTAGATGTCTAAGGCATATACAATCTGTGTTTAACTTGATAGTGGACATCCTTGTGGACATCCTTGTTATTTTCAATTGACAGCTGTCAAAAAGTGTATCTGCTGACCAGTGTCACATGAATGTATCGTGGGCTCAAGAGTACAATTCATTGTGGAGATGTGTTTTTTTAAATTATAGTTACTGGTTTTAATCATACTTATTATTGATCGCAGACTCAGGTAAATGATGAAACGGCTATATAATAAATAACTTATTAACCTTGTCCATTCAGTCATTACAGGGAAATCTCAGACCTCAGCCTTAATGTGGTGACCAACCAGAGGTTAAAAAAGTAGTATTTAACTGGCAATTTTCAATCTAGCACAGATTAAGCCAAACAAATACAATGTCCTTCCCCAATTTACTCTAAACCTTCACCAACTTTTCAAAATTCCTCACTGTTCAAGCCAAAATACAGCTTAACTTGTAAAATACACACTAAACCATCAATTCTCGGGTTTTCACATGACGTCACCAAAATTCAAACTTGGAAACTATCGATTCTTCTGAGTTTCTACGTTCATGAGGTATTACAGTACCTAAATACATATTTATATAAACAAATTTTCGGTTCGAAAGGGTTTTTCTTAAAGAGATAAAGGATGCTTGAATTTCCAGGCTTTTGCATGACACGGCATTCCGCTGACAGCCAGGGAAGCTCTTATGTGGGTTAAAAATGTTACTGATTTTGGGAGATTTGGCTATCTAAACATTTCTTGTCTCACAATAAATATTACTTAATCTTTATGAATTCCTCAAGCGAAGAATTCACGCATTAGCAGGAAAACTCAAAAACAGATGTTTCTGCTGGTTTCCGGCGGCCATATTGGTGTCCCTGAAAGGGACAGCAACATAGCATTTCCATACAAAGCCTTATTAATTTGGGTAAAACGTTTTTCTGAATATCTCGCATACGAAATATTGCACAGACCTGATTCTTGGCAGGGCTGTTTGTATACTTATCTTCTTTCATTTCCCAGATTCTAGACTTTGTGTACTGAATGGTTTGCATTTATATTTTTGATGGCGTGACTGTGAAAACCGTGAATTAAGACGTGTGTCTTTTGAACAACTCCTGCGCCCCAGTAATAACATATCCCATGGAAAAAAAAGCCAGCAAATTGTTAAGAGACTCAAAGGCTCAGAGGCGGGGTATTTAAATAAAGCAATTATTAATCTGAGCCAAGGAAGATTTTATCTTCAGTTGTATTTACCTTTTCCATCAAGGGTAAAGTCTTTACAACGACATCAGCATTATTTTCTTCTTCCCTTTGCGCTTCCTTCACACTCGGAAGGCCTGTAGGCCTGTTCCTAAAAAAGGAACGTTTCTTTGCTTTTGTCTTTCCCATAATGTTGAAGCTAAAATCAGTTTTACGCTCTTTAAACTCAAAATGTTTATCGGCTGAACGCCGCCATCTTATTTCGCAAGAATCCACGTGCTTTCAAAAGGGCAAGCTCTGACCATGAAAACCCTGGGCGCGCGCTGTTTGTTCGCGCGACAAGCTATATAGCCTTCGCATACAAGGGGTGTCGAATGGTACCTCGGAAAACGTGGGTCTCGGAAAATTTTGGCAGGATCTCGAAATCTCG